GTTCAAAACATATACCACATTTTTTACGAGTTGATCACGGATTGATATCAGTTAGAGAACCATTGAAAACCAGGGAGTACTGGACAGCTGCTGTTTCATCCTAGTTTGGGAATCATCGGCAGTACGCACCCACTGGGATTCGAACCCAGGACCTTCCGGTTTCAAGGCAAGCTCGTATACCATTCAGCCACTGGGACCGGAAGGTCCTGGGTTCGAATCCCAGTGGGTGCATACTGCCGATGATTCCCAAACTAGGATGAAACAGCAGCTGTCCAGTACTCCCTGGTTTTCAATGGTTCTCTAACTGATATCAATCCGTGATCAACTCGTAAAACATAACTACTCCTTACGAACCAAAACTATAGAAAATATACCACATTATTATTATTTGATCCACAAAATCACCGTCATTGGTTAAAATTTTTTATTTATAAATCTATGTAAATTAGAGTAAAGCCTGAAGAAGATCTAATTGAAAACAACAATATTGTTCGCTTATATGTCTTGTTCTACTATTAAAAATGGGAATATTTAAAAATTTAATGTATAATGACAATTTCATGAAGAGATATCAGTGTGAAAGATCATAGTTTAGTAAATATAACAGAAAGTATTTACAATTTTGTCAGTGATACAAACTAAATATATTTCTATTTTTGATTGTGGAGTAACCACCATACCATTAAGTTGTTGTCTTTACAATAACATGGCAGCCTTTTTCTTCTGATATTTTTATGGTTTAGTGGAACAGAAAGTGTTGATAGAGAGTTTATTTTGTAAAACAAAAGGTTATGGGCTGATGAGTTTTACTGCTGTTAAGCAGATGCCAATTTGTTATTATTATTGTTTCCTTTAGTTCCTAGAGCAGCATAGGACTTCAGACACACGTCTCCATTGCGTTCGATTCTCCACCAACGTTTCCACCTGACTTTACGTCTGCCCACATGCTTTAATCTCCTCTTCGCTTGACCTCCTCCACGTCACCCTCGCACTGACGACCAACTCACCGCTTCCCATTCAGGTTCCACTCGAGCGATGAACTGGCGTGTAATGTCAATCACTTGAGGGTTTTTTCAGAGTATGGCTGATCCACCTCCATTTCTTCCTGCATATTTCTTGCACAATTGGTTCCCACTGGGTTGGTGCATTCATTCTCAGAGGTCCCTGTTGCTGATCTTTTCTGGTCGAACATCTGATCTTGATTAGTACTGAGGGAAGACAACTATTAATGAAGGTCTGTAGTTTGTTTGAGATGCTCTTTATGACTCGCCAAGTCTCTGATCCATATAGTAGCATTGAATTCACATTGGAGTTGAAAATCCGGATATTATTTTTCATGCTGAGGAGTGTTATTGATCTCTACACAGACTTGCTTTCCCGATCCTCGCTTTGATATCCTCATCAGTTCAGTCTACCTGTAGTTGAAGCTCTGCTGAGCAGGTAGGTAGGTAGGTGAAGGAGGTTGCTTCTTTTAGATTTCTCCCACTTATACTGATTGTTGTCTGTTGTTGTTTCTGTTGTCGGTGGCTGGGAATCTTCATCACCTCTATTTTCTCTATGTTCACCTGAAGGCCTATCTTCTCTGGATGCTTCTTCTGTCAATTTGTTACTTTTCACTTGCACATCTTCCAGTTTGTGGGAAATCAGGCATATATCATTGGTGAAATCCAGACCCTCGAAGTTTTTTGTGTGGGTCCATCCTATGCCTGTCTCCTCATTGCCCGCTGTCTGTCGCATTATCCAGTCTACCGCAATCAGCAAAATTATTGGAGATAGTAGGCAGCCAGCTATCCTTGTCTTACTCCCGTCTTCACTTCGAAGTACTGCGTGAGTTTCTCATTGTGGATTAATTGGAATGCAACATTGTCGTACAACTGTTGGATGATATGTATAATTGTTTACGGCACCCCGTAGTAGCGAAGTAGTTGCCAAATCACCTCTCGATTGACGCTGTCGAAGGCCTTTTCAAAGTCAATGAAGTTGAGGTAGAGAACTGACTACCATTCCAAGCTTTCTTCAATGATGATATGCAGTGTTGTGATTTGATCGATGTATGTCTTGTCCCTCCTGAATACAGCCTGTTCCGGTCGAAGTTTTTCATCCAGGGTGTGTCTGGATAGTAATTTAATATCTCTTTGTATTAGGATGCTGTTGAGTACTTTTTTTCCACATATGTCTATACATTTTATTTTTCCTGATTTTTTTAAAGTCATTCATTTGTTTTCCATTAACTGTTTAAATCCGTAAATTATCTATTTATTAGACGTCGTAATGCAAATATACATATTCAGTGTTATTCTTCGTCAGTCTGTCTGATGTTTCGACAGTAAAACCTCTTCCTTAATAATCAGGTCTTCTTTTCTTCTTTTCCACATTCAGAGGGCCTTTAAATTTGATGTTGATAATTGTAGCTAGGTAGTTAGCTGACAGTACAAGTCAGTTGCATCCTAAACTTATGAACTCTAGATGTAGGGGAAAAATTGTTTGGGAAGTCCCTCTTGGATGATCTCATCACAATATTTATACTTATTTGTAATTACTGTTCACTTATTTCCAAGACTGTTTGTGATTGTCCTGACAGTTGTCTTTGTGGTTACTTAATCTCTGATTTTAATGCATCTCTTTGTGGTTGATAATATGCTGTACAATGTGATTTTGTCTGAGTGAACCAAGTTCGTTCTGATCTTGAACTGTCTACAAGAAGCGTTAGTGTATGACTATTGTGGACAGAGTTTTTGGTCCTGCCCTTCTGGGAGTATTCGGCTTAGTTTTAAGTACATGTTTTGTACTTAGACTGGACTGTATAGCTGCCTAACAGCACTGTTAAATTGATTTTGAATTTCTGACGTTATTATTATGTAACAGAACCACACATTTATCGAAGAATAAACGTCTTTTTTCTGCCTTTGGAGCGTTTCGCGACTGTATATGTCTCAAGGAAGTATTGTCAGCTATACAGTAGAACACAGAGGTCGGTTTCCTGCGTTCAGACCACAACAAGTCGGGTTTAGTAGTAACATCACATTGAAATATAATTTCTAATTATAATTTTCTTTTATTGGCTATTTTACTGGATTCAGTTGACTGATGTCTTCCTCGCAGTACAGGTTGCTATGACTAATGTCTTGCTTTGAATTTCATCTTGAGCTCTCATTGGTCATTGTTCCCTTTGTAATCTAATTTAAAAACTCTTTAAATAGCGTTAGATTCATTCACTATTAATAATTGTTGCCGAAAAGCAATTATTTGTTTATCACTTCAGCTTCACCTTCCGAAATCAGTCAGATGAATTAAACGGGTAATCAAAAATGACCATTTTTTGAGTAGAACACCTAATAAGTATACATAGCAGTTGATTGCGTCACTTGCAGTAGCGTCAGTAGTTCAATAGCAGAATACTTACCAACCAAGTGCATGGTTAGGACTCTACTCCCGGCAGACGCACTCCCAAAACTTTGACTGTTTTGCTAGCCGGAAGTAAATTGGTGGATGGTGACTAGCAGTGGAATCCAGGACAACGTGCATTTCATCCTATTTGGGGGTCGTCAGCTGGATGTGCCTGCAGTCCTCAGAGAGTAACGATGTTCCCACTGAGGCTCGAACCCAGTGATTATAGTTTCAAACGCCAAAGTGTTATCCATTAGACCACTTGAGCCGCGGGAGTCACCTTTTGTGCAACAGGTCATATTAGGATGAAATTCGCGTTATCCTGGATTCCACTGCTAGTCACCATCCACCAATTAACTTCTAATTACATGCCTAGATATCGTCGAAGCATCTGCACAAGAACCTGACATGTCAACCTGAGACCGAGCATTTCGGTCCAGTCAATCGGCAGTAAAATCCAAAGTTGGATTAAATAGCCGGGAGTAAGCCTGGAAAGTGGGGAGAGGGTGGACATGAGTCCAGCCGCCCTGCCCCCTAAAACATCATTGCTCCTGAAACGTCAACAAGCTTGAGGCGATATGTCCCACTCAGAATGCACAAGAATGATATGTATATATCCAGTTACTTTAAGAATCAATCAAATAAGTCAATTGTGTATCGTATAAAATATATTTAAATGTATTATTATTAGTTATAGTAATTATAATATCATAGCCATCCACTAGGCTCTGTTAATAATAATAATAATAATAATAATAATAATAATAATAATAATAATAATAATAACATTAATATTAGCAAACAAATAAAACGATGAGGAAAATGAAGTAGCAACGAGTCTATTAAACACCCAACGCTACTTCGAGTTTTTACCCAGTACCACACACCTACACACACACACACACACACACACACAAACGCACATACTGTCAGCAGATAATATTAAATTTATTGGAAAAATAGTGATTCATGCATACGGGGTTGACACACACACTATGGCGGAAGTCGAGCTGGGTGAGGGAAGATTTCAGCATCAGAGATTCAAGAGATGGAACATGTAAGCTAATAAAATAAAAATGATTATTAGTATTAGATTTTTTGTAGGCTTAACCTATGCGCAACGTTCAAAATTGTTCCGTTGCGTACTCTCACACAGAAGGATACATATATATTTACACACACACTCTTGGACGGATGGAATAGAGTCAAGACAAGCAAATCTTCTTTCAAAAGTTTAAAGACTTTCATCGAGTGGACAGATTTTTCAAAAGATCCAGAAGTACGCATCGTTAGGGAAGCAATCAATAAAAATACATTAATTCTCATGTATTGAGAAAAAAAATGGGAAAGTTTACATAATTTCATCGTTTTTCACATTTTGTTGTGTGTGTGTGTGGTTTACTGATAAAGTAGACAAACGTACAGTTGATTCAGTGACTAGACTATTTATTAATTTGTAAAGGTGTACAAGTAAGTATAGACACCCACATGTTTGTATTTATGTGTGCAGATATATATTTGTGTGTGTGTGTGTGTGTGTGTGCGTAGGCGTGCGTAGATAAATCCAGTGCATTAGTTTTTTCCTTTAAATACTCCTTAAGACAGTCATTTTTCTAACTATCTGATGGTGTAATTTGTATGCACAACATTCGACAGAATTTTGAACAAGACATTAACTTGAAATTTTGTTTAGAAAATAATCCTGGTGCATTATCAACAATCGGTAGTGAAACAGCTAAACCATTTTCACCAGGATATGTTGATTGCCAATTACGACATTTTGATTGTGCTGCATACTCGTAATCACCATTTAAATAAATCGGTTTTTGACCAATCCATAAACAAGGTGCTCTACAAAATGAATAAAATATATTTTAAAAAAATTAAATGTTGTCAATGCACGCACTACTAACAAACCTAAATTAAGTAGCTTTCAGATTAGATGACTTTATTAGCATACACTGATTGATACAGTCTTAATAATTGGGTGACATTTCGAGTGAAGTTCATTGTTTCCAATCATATCAATGCATTTGTAATGACAGAAGACAAGGGCAAGGCAACAGATAGTTTGTTGAGAAAACCAAGAGGTATTTATAAATTTTTATCTACATTATTATTCGTTATTGTTAGCAGAGAAGCAACGTCTTCTGATTGGTTGTTTTCTTGCTGAAGGTTATTCTGTACTGGTTGTGACTTGCTTACAAAGTTAAGCTTTGTTCTTGTTTTTTCTCCTGATTTCGATTCGGGACGTAAACATTGACGCCAATTGTAGTCTACAATTTAGTCTTGCAGATAGCTGTCATCACACATTTATATGACTTTGTAGTTTGTACTTCATGTACTTCCACTCCCACTGTGTTTTTTGTTGCAGTTTTCCATGCATCTGGTATAGGTATCGGGTTGTCTCGATTGCACATGTATGGTGTTTTAATTTGATGGGTAAAGATTTATCCCACCCAAAATCGGCAGAGATAGGTTTAAACACAAGATTTTGAGCAAACAATTGTGGTTTCAATAACTTCTTCTTCAGGCTGTACAGTTATAAACCCATGAATAATAGAGTACATATAGCCAGCCAATAAAGGCAAATGAAAATAATATCAGAAACTGTATTGGAGTGCATGTGTAAGTTGAGAAGATAGTCCATTAATTAGCATAGTCAATCAAATGTGTATAGGGTGTATAGTCAGTCAGAAAAAATGTGATGAAGTGTGAATGAACAAGTGGGTGATATAGTGAGTGTTGTTTTATAGTTAGCAGAATACAGAATACAAAATACATACAACCACACATTAACAAAGGGGATATTGAATGTGACCGCTGACAGATAATGTCTAATGATAAAATAAAGAGGCTAAATTGTAAATTGTAATAATATGTAGATTTAGTATAAAATCATAAAGGTTGACAAAAATTAAGGGTAACAATGAGATGAAATAAACTGGGTGGAGAAATGTTTAATAAAGATATGATATCACAAAATGATAGCAATGATAATAATAGTATGAAAAATTATGATCCTGGTGACCTTACAGTAGGTAGGTTTAGTTAAATGGTTAAAAAATCTAGCCAGCAGCCTAAGTAGTAGGCCAGAAGGTTTAAATAATGCGATCAAACGAATAGGTAAAACACTAACCAAAAGATTTTATTCAGAAATGTATGCAGATCCATAAGAATCCATTAGAGTAGTAATGTAAATAATGGGAACAATATCAATAATAAGGTATTCGAAGTCTTAATAGCCCTATCATATAAAGATGGAACATCAGAAGCCCTAAGTGAGGTTCTTAATAAAGCTGGAATTAGAATGGCATTTAAACCAACTAATTCATTCAGAGACAAACTTTGTCGGATTAAGGACTCGATAGGTGCAATTAGGTAGAATAATATCATTAACTAAATACAATGTAATATCTGTGATTTTAGTTACATAGCTCAAACTAGTACATCGAGGTCGCTTAGGCCATAGGAACATAGAAATTTACCTACAGCTGGAATGACTGACTGTGTTAAGTTAAATAATCTAGAAAACAAAATGAGCCATTGTAATGCATTCACTAGCATGTAATCACACAACAGAGTAAGACAGGGTAGAAGTACTATAATATAGTTAGGTGAAGAAATAGGTGAATCACGGAGTCTTTGTTCCCTGAATAAATCGTTAAGTATTCCCATTTATAATATTAGAACAAGACATATCAGCGAACAATATTGTTTTCAGCTAGATCTTCTTCAGGCTTTACTCTAATTTACATAGACTTATATATATAAAATTTTAACCAATGCCGTGATTTAGTGGATCAAACTATAATAGTAATCATAATAATAATAATCATAATAATGTGGTAAATGTTTTGAACGAAGTTAATAACGATGATTATAATAATAACAAAATATTGTTAATAAGGCTTATATAGGTGATAAGAATAACAAAGTTAGTATATGCATATATGTAGACAATTCAATAAATAAATAAATTAGGTCAAATCAAATGGAACGATAATCAGAGTTTAAATAAATATCATAACTGATATCAATCCGTGATCAACTCGTAAAACATAACTAATCCTTACAAACCAAAAACTATAGAAATATCATAAAAGTACGAAGCAGAGGGATGATAAGAAAGGGTGGGAGGGTTTTGAATAGAATTCACCTAGGCCAAGGGAGAGACAAAGGTAGAACAAATTTCATTTGTTTACAAAGACTAGGATTGTTCTCTCGAATTCCCATAGCTTCGGCTATGTGTAAAAGACGGGTTCTGATTCCGTCCGAAAGACTTGATGGAATGCGATAAATAACTTTGAAAGCACTATTTTTGTCCTTTTGGTGACCACTATCAATCAAATGAGCCAAAATAGAACTTCATATACCCAATGCCCAAATTTTCTCAAACCGTTAAAAGTGAACTTGGTTTGGATATATACAAAATAGAACTTCGTATGGATTTTATTTGACCTTTTCCGAACCATGAAGGAAGATGCTCATTAATGCGTTTGTTAAGCTGTCTAGTTGTTCGGCCTATATAGCTCTCTCCACAGGAGCAACTAAATTTATAGGTACACATGGAAGTGGCACAACTAGGTAACTTATCTTTCACATGACAAACAGAGGGTGGCGGAAGTATAAGTCCGTTTTATCGCTCTCGATAATCTCTGATGTAAGACTTCACTAGCCACGTCCCCATTAAATTCCCTCTCCTTCGTACTTTTATGATATTTATTTAAACTCTGATTATCGTTCCATTTGATTTGACCTAATTTATTTATTTATTGAATTGTCTACATATATGCATATACTAACTTTGTTATTCTTATCACCTATATAAGCCTTATTAACAATATTTTGTTATTATTATAATCATCGCTATTAACTTCGTTGAAAACATTTACCACATTATTATGATTATTATTATTATTATGATTACTATTATTATTTGATCCACTAAATCACCGTCATTGGTTAAAATTTTATATATATAAGTCTATGTAAATTAGAGTAAAGCCTGAAGAAGATCTAATTGAAAACAAGAATATTGTTCGCTTATATGCCCTGAATAAATACCAAGTACTTGCAATCACAATGATGCAATATCTACCGCATATATACAGAAAATCCCATTGAGAAAGGCTATATAAAGCGAATTAGGAAGTCATGAGAATACACTACTATGATTATGAGAAGTGAATTGTGTTCGAAACGTCACCCAGTTAACAGTGCTGTTGTAATGTTAGAAGACAAGAAGATTAGTAACTCAATGTTTATTTGGAATTTGATATCTCTACACAGCGAAATTATGTATACATTATCTACAAATCGTCATTTGCACAGAACTTCCGTGTTGTTCTACTTCTACTCTTCGTATTGTGTGTCTTTGTCTTCTTTTCGTGTTTCGAATGTTTTACCGCAATACTAGTTCATTTCCTCTCATTAACGTCGAATCAATCTCTCCACTATTTGATATTTTTATGACAATGAACGTCTTTTTATATACCACTGATAGGGTTTATCAGTAGTACACGTCACAATGTGTCACTCTGATATAAAAATAAACTTGCCTAATATTAAACATTCTACAATAGTTCGTAAATTCTACTCTTACATAAATTTAGTTGTTGTACATTAGGTTTTTATTTTATTGTACGGTTATTGAAAGAGCCAATGTAATTTAACATCTTTAGTTATTCAAGTTAACTTAGAGTGGGTCAACTAGGGATGTGTGTATATCTAATTTAGCTTTATTAGTAAGTTCCCTCAAGAATTCAAAAGTTCCGCCTACAACATTTCGGCCTGAATTAACATTCGTAGTTATTCTTCTTTATTTCATGTAGAACGAAAGCGATAATTAATAGTTATTTAATTACTGCTGTATAACTCATGCATTGTATAAACTGATACTTTTATAATCATTACAGATTTGACGAAATACGTTCCTATGTTATGCTTTTGTGACGTAATCATTCACTGTCTCATATCTCCTCTTAGTTCACTTAAGTCAGTCAACGATAACTTCATGATAACTCGATTAAAGTTCGACTGGTTACATGGATGCAGCAGTGATCATACACTAGTGACAAATCAGTTTCTTCATTATAGTCCGACTAGAGGTTAGTCATCATCCGAAATAACTCAGTGGTATTATCTCTGACTTCAGCACTGGATATGGTGGGTTTGGATCTCCAAATGGGTCGTCAGTTCCTTTAAGTTTAGAGAAATGCCTTAGTCATGATTGCAATCAAGCATAAAACTTAGGTTCAAGCTTTTCTGCCAATTGCTTCCACTGAGTTAGTTTCGATCACAGTTATTTTGTATCAAATAATTCTGTATTATCAAGTGGATCATTCGATAAAGGTAACAGATATTTTGATAAATATATGAAGATTGGTTCCAGGATTTCGTCATGAGCTGATGTAGGTTAGAGAACTATTGGAAAACCTGGGAATACTAGTGACTGACCCTATTCAGGCAGTTACTTGGGGTTCTGGTGGGAAGCCGTGACCAATAGGGTACAGCAGGTTGAAGGTGAGGCAGTAACTCATCGAAGAAGACATTACGAAGTGGTCGTGCTATGTCGTGAATTGACAGAAGTAGGAATTCATGGGCTGGCCATTGGATCAGATCCCAATTGCTTAATGGTCTAAAAGCCCACCTAGTAACCTGGAGGTCCTGGGTTCGAAACGTGGCGGTGGATCCCTACTGTAAAGAGTCCCATACTAGGATGAAACAGCTGTCCAGTACTCCCAGATGGTTTTCCAATGGTTCTCTAACACATTTCAGCTCATGATGAAATCCTTTAACCAATCAAACAAAAATCCCTAGAAACCAATACTTGGTAAATGAATGAAGAATAAGAACAGCAAGAGTTCGTCTAATGATTTTGGTTGGCATATCTAACACTTTTACAGATTTGAAAATAATTATCATGATCACGACTAGTAGCGCCCACTAAGTTGGGTGTGTGAACAAATAGTCGCCGAAGATATTGATTGGCGGTCACGCTTTGTACCACAAATTGACAGAAGTTACGACTGATGGGTCAGTCTATCCAATCAAAGTGTCTGAATGATGAACGGGCTCATCTCGTAGACTGAAGATCCTGAAGTTCGATCCCTAGAGGTGAGATTACTGCTGAAGAATCTCAAGCTAAGGGGAATCAGCTGTCCAGTACTGCCTAGACTTTTAATCGTCCTTTAACTGATACTGATTCGTGATGAAATCTAACTTGATACCTTTTGTCTGCTTTTTTGAATATTTTTCATTCCTTTTTCATGTTAAATTAAACATTTTATGATACATTCATTGACTGACAGTTCAAGTAGAACCATATAGTGTAAAATATGCCGAAAGAAACCCTACACAAAGTTACAAAATAAACTGTAAAATGACTTAGCAACAAATCAGTGATAGTTTCTCTATGAAATTTCTTTTTCACCCTCTCTCTCTCTTTTTGTTTTAAATTATCATTTAATTTAAAATAATTATTTATGCGCCTAAATTAAATTAGTTCATTTAATCTAAGAAAGTTTATTTAAACGATAGAGATAAAATGACAGGTCAATTATCAGTCAGACACTAATTAACAATAGTCATAAATATGATGAATGGAGATTTGTTAATACTTTTTCTTTTTTATAAATCTTATCATTCACACGCACATATGACACATTGGTAAATCAAATTTAAAAAGGATGGTTGAGTATCTTAGTGAATATTACTTTGGAAGGTTGTCATCTGTACATAAGGTCAAATTATCTGTGTTAATAGATGGTAGCTAGTACTGGTTGACATGTAGGGTGTGCATTTCACTCTATCCATTAGCTTTTCAGTTGGCTATTTCTTCATACAAGTAAGCGAATTTGTTCACACTAGGACTTGAACCCAATGCCCATAGTTTTAAACATCAAAATGTTTTCCATTAGGCCACATGATTTAGTCAATAGCGCTCAATCCTATTGAATTCTTTGTTAGCATGCATACATGACAGAAACTAATTTGTAAAATCTCTCCATCTCTGTCATCGCTTTGCATTTCGAGTGGGACATAGGGCTTCAAGGTTTGAGTTTTGGATTTTTAGGAGCTGTAGTGTTTTTTCCCACAGACTGGAGTTGCTAGCCACACAATCAACCTACCTTTTTTTACCAGGCGTACTACCGACTAAGCGGGGTTTAAGAGTGCATCGGCAAGGGATCGAACATGGACCATTTGCGCAACTGGCGGGCACTCTACTCCCAAACCACTGACACAAATTTGTAAACTGTTTATCAGGTTATCTTTTAATTCTGTTGTTATTATTTCTTCACTTTTTAGAATCATACAAACAGCTATTCTGAAGGATGTTAAGGCTAATTCATTATCTAGTTATGACAATAAATAGTACATTTGTATTCCAACATTATCTATGACGTTAGTCTGTAATTATTTCAGATTGTAAAGATATGCGCGCCTGCACACACACACACACACGCATACATACCAGTAAAAGACACTGATCCTTCATAAGTAACATATAATTGTTCTGTACCTGTCTACCCGTAATTTACCTATAATGACAAATAGCCCAAAGACTAAATTGAAAAATGTTGTAGTTTAGTAAAAAAAAAAGAAGTCGAAGAATAACGTGACCGTTATCTTGTAGTATCACAATATATTCAAATTAATTAGGGAATGTTATGTAATAGGTGGTCTCTAACAGTGGAATCCACATCTTGTGTTGCATTTTACATTAGGACCCACCAATCAGATTTCTCAATGGATGATGGTGTTCCTACTAAAACTTGACCATGGTAAACGTTATCTCAGGCAGTATTTTAATTCCATATTCAATATATATTTCATTTGATATTCGGTTAACTTAACTATATGTTACCTTAACGATATGTTCTACGTTTAGAAATTAAATTGGATAACACAACTAAACCAAATGTTAATATTTTGAAGTGTGGTTCAAGTTGACAGATGTTCAATAGTGTATCCTTGTTACTAGATAGGATATACTGTATAATTATTACAGTTTTTTTCACTTTATTAAGAGTATTTATTTTAAATTAACAACTGTCTCCGCTCAATACTCAAGATCAGATGGCCAGAAAAGATCAGCAACAGGGATCTCTGGGAGCGAACCAATCAGGAACCAATTGTGAAACAAATAGGCAGAAAGAAATGGAGATGGATTGGCCATACGCTGAGGAAACCATCAAGTGACATCACTAGACAAGCCATCGCTCGAGTGGAACCCGAAAGGGAAGCGGCGAGTTGGTCGTCAGTGTGAGGGTGACTTGGAGGAGGTCATGCGAGGAGGAGATGAAAGCATGTGGACAGACCTGGAGCAGGGTAAAAAGTTGTCAGAAAACCGAAGTCAATGGAGGTGCGCAGCTGAAGCCCTATGTTCCTCTAGGAACTAAAGGATACAATAATAATAGTAATAATTTTAAATTATGATAGTTATTATTCTAGTATTAGCGATTAAGCACCAGCTTTTATTGCTTTCAGAGTAAATTTAGTTTAATAATATAGGAACCTAAAACACACGTTAATATTATGCTGTAGGCTGTTGAATTCTTCTTTCTAATTCGAGATGAAGAATTATATTAGTAAACCATACATAAAGTAAACAGTGTTTGAGTGAGTAAGTGTTAATGTGATGAAACTGTGTCTTAACATCTCTATAAACTTGGATTAAATATTATCGTTATCTCCTTTAGTTCCTAGAGGAATATAGGGCTTCAGACACACGTCTCCATTGAGTTCGGTCCTCCACCAACGTTTCCCCCTGACTACACGTCTGTCCACATGCTTTTATCTCCTCGTCACACGACCTCCTCCATGTCATCCTCACACTGATGACCAACTCGCCACTTCCCATTCGTGTTTCACTCGAGCGATGACCTGGCGTGTGATGTCACTCACTCGATGCTTCTCTATCGGAGTATGGACAATCCACCTCCATTTCTTCCCGCATATTTCTTGCACAATTGGTTCCTGCTGGGTTGGTCCATTCATTGCCAGAGGTCCATCCCTGTTGCTGATCTTTTCTGGTCGAACATCTGATCTTGACTAGTATTGAGCGAAGACAACTGTTGATGAAGGTCTGTAGTTTGTTCGAAGTGCCCTTCGTGACGCGGCGCCAAGTCTGTGATCCGTATAGTGAGTAGCAGTGACTTCATATTGGAGTTGAAAATCCTGATCTTATTTTTGATGTTGAGTTCTGTTGACCTCCACACAGACTTGATAGTAATGAAAGCTTGCCTTTCTTTTCCGATTCTGGCTTTGATATCCTCATCAGTTCCGTCCGCCTGTAATTGAAACGATGCTTCCCAGGTAGGTAGGTAGGTAGGTAGGTAGGTGAAGGAGGTTTCTTCTTTCAGATTTCTCCCATTTATGCTAACTGGGATATTTTCGGTGAAACCAATATTTACCTTTTAGGAAACTTAAAGTGTGTATGTGACTGGGAACTTATTTGTTATTATTGTCCCTGATGAAATAGGTACCAGACGCTGGCATTACTGAAGTCAAAATATAAATGACAACGGTGCTGGAGAATTTATATAAGATATATATATATATATATGTATATACTTCACACTATCTTGGTAAGTTTCGAAAAATAACAGATACCCGAATTTATCATTCATCTCAATAGTAAGTCATTTTCTACACGAGCAGCTCATGATTTAAGTTCTAATCTTAGATACAACATGAAGAATTAGATACACCTTTCTGATGAGTATCAGTCAATACGAAATTCAGAGTGAGATGAACCTAACTAAATATGTAACTTTAGAATAAAAGTTCATTGCAATGAGAAGTAGTATCACTTTATTAAGATTAGTGACTGCATTCCATTCCATTCTCTAATGATTATTTTCCATCAACACTTAACAGCTCTGTTGACTACCAGTCAGTTATGTCAGCTGTGTTTAACTTTAGTTTTTAAATAAATGCTATATATATGACACAATGAGCTGAAGTCATATATATATATATAGTGATAAAAATGTCACTTACATAACATCGTCTGTGATATCAACTCCATCAAAGTTTAATAATTTTGCTTGAGGCCTCGATCGTCCTTCAATAAGACTCATGAAATCATCAAACAATACTTCACCCTGTGCATAAAGAAAGAAGAAATACACTTGTATATAGTACATTGAATTGATTAATATTTCTGTTAGCCAGTTTTTACTAATGCGGCACCAGTGTCAAAGCATTCAAAACACACACTTTATGGGCGGTGGTGGTGGTAGGAGTCACTGATTGTCTAGATGTACAGATATACTGGAGAAGATTTTTAGTCCAGGTGGATGACTTGGGTGTAGTTGTGTTCTCTGAGCTGGATAGTTCACTTGAGAAGCTTTCATTTTCTTACTAGACAACATTATCAATCCGAAACTAGGACGAAACAGCTGTCCAGTACTTCAAGGTTTTTTAATGGTTCTGTAACTCATGTCAGCTCTTGATGAAATCCTGTAATCAGTCAAATCTCTGCAAGCCTTAATTTGAAGTAAACTTTTAGAATTCTCCACGAGTTTATCAGTCATATTTTCAAGGTTACCAGGCGATATGACAGTATCTTCAACACAGACTTATTTAAAGTAGACCATTACTCCATTGGCTACGTTGTGAGTTTTTCTTCATGTTGAAGTATGAGCTGAAGATGTAGTCTAGAAAGACAGTGGAAGCTTCGCAATTAAACTACCCAGCCCAGAGAACAAAACCACATCAGAAGTTTCAGTTCATCTACATTTTTTTCCTTCACATTCCCAGTGCAACATAGGGCTTCAAGCTAGTGGCTTGAGGTTTCTGTAGCAGTGTTTATTTTACAGGATGGGGTTGCTAGCCTCATGCCCAACCTTTCCTCTTTATCAGCGTTATCTCTGGCTTAGCGAGGTAAAGGAGTGCATCAGTCGGGGATCGAAGCCCGGACCATGTGCATGGTCGGCGAGCGTCCTAACCGCTATGCCACCGACGCCCTACATACTGATAATCATTTTGAACTAGTTAGTCTCTATGCAAAAGCTCTTTAGTAAGGCCATCTTGTTTTTTTTTTCATTTTTTGCTATGGCTTCACTGTTGGTAACGGATATGATTTCAGAAACAGGTCCTATTGTGTAATAAGACAATAAATAAACCTTAGAGTATTTTAGTTAATAATTTTCGGAAAATTCTAACTGTTAAATGTACCTATTCGTTTGTTGACTATCTTAGATTATCAGAAAATACATACGACATTATCATTTCATATCCGTGAGGATAAAAATAATCTTATAATGTGTTCGGACATAGTATAGGTGAACAACACAACAGATATTCTAGTGATATGAAAAATCAATAAAACACCTTCAAAACAGTCAATTATAAGTAGGGATATAAATAATCAGCAAACAAATTGAAGTTTGATCTGTGGATGTTGTCTAATAAGACTACGAAAACTTCTCAACGAAACTATCCAGCTCAAAAAAACACAACTACACCAATATGTACACATATATCTGAGTGAATATAATTGTCTTCACGTCTGATCACGAAATGACTTCAGTTAGAGAACCACTGGAAAACCTCGGGTTACTGGGCAGTTGTTTCGCCCTGGTTTGACACCCTTCATCAGGACGCACTTGTTAACCACAACCTTTAGGTTACGAAGGCAGCTCACCGACTATTCAGCCAATGGGACGAAATCCAGTGGCCTATGAATTCTAACTCCTGCCAATATGCGATACATAGCACAAACACCCACCAACCAAGGTGACTGCCCCTATACCCAACTTGATGAACCCCGATGATTACGAATTTTCACTAGAACTTCAGGTAATTTCATCCTGTAGTTGGTTAGTACTGGGCATTAGATTAATTTTCAAGCGTTGGTTTGGAGGGATTTGATTGCACACTGACTTCATTTAGAGAGCTAATAAAAGTCAGAGAGTAGCAGAAAGCTGTTTCGTCCTAGTTATTATCATATCACTATAGGTAATATCGTAATATCCGCGCAGACAACACTCAATGCAGTAGATAATAATCAGTTCTGTTGTATTAATCGGTAATGAAAGAAAAAACTCAACAGGAATTCAATTAATTTCGGTGTAGATTTAATTAGTAATCGTCATCAGTCAAGGACGCAGTGAAAACTGAAAAACGACAGAAAAGTATTTCATGCAAATATAATAAATTTTAGCTGTAGATACTTAAGAATTAGTGATTTATGAAATCTAGAATTCTTAGGTATTGACAGGAGTATACCATCTCACGAACCTACAACATATAATGATTTGCATACATTAGCTGAGTAACCGTTGGCTTACCCAACTTCTTGAATGCCACTGACTACAGTTTCGCACCAAAAGTAGTCCTTAAAGTTATTATCTAAACATCTCCACTGACTTTTATTTGATGATAACCTTTTCTCTCTGATAGGAAGCAGGTACAATTAAGTAAAACAGGCTTAAACCGGCTTGAACCAGCCTGGAAAAATCAAACCATTGGGCCAAGGCAATGCAACTAGAAAACCTATTTGCATATGTTCCATTTTTGTATAATCAATTAAAATGTTCTCACTATCATAGATGAATTTTTCTTCTGTCTTCACTTTCATGGGTTCTGGGGGTCAGAAATAATCGATGATCAATTTTAGTACCCAGCCTACAATTCATCAGTATTACTCTATCATCACCAACATATCACTTTCACACTTATATTTGTCTGTTGTGATGTTATTCTATATTTGATATTTCTATTCTATTTTTTGTGTATGTGGTAAGTGGTAGTGACGAATTTTGCGCAAGCTTCTATATCCATACATATATATATATATGTGTGCGTCGGTGGCACAGTGGTTAGGACTCTCGCCGATCATGCACATGGTCCGGAGTTCGAGCCCACGCCGGCGCACACCTGATATCTATGGTCGGCCTGCAAAATTTGGGCTACCGATATCCATGCTGAAAATTCCATACTTGTACCAAAAATACAGTGTGGAATCAAGCTGTAAATCAAAAATAATATATATATATATATATATATATATATATATATATATATATTTAAAATGAACTTACATATAAGTTGACTAGTGGAATACCATATCTATACGTTGGTGGTACAACATAATCCATATTGAACATATCTGTACTTAATAATGGATAGAATGCTCTTCCTAAGCCTTTAAGATTTGCTGCACGTTGACAGGCAAATATTGATCCAGCATGTGCACCAGTCATTCGATCACCAAGCTTTAAATCACCACGTAATGGTTCATTTTGTGCAATAAGATAAAGCTATTTGACAAGAGAAATAACACACATTAAGGAAGATGAGTAAATACATATTGCATAGTTTGATTAATAACTGATTACATTATTTCCATATTTAGGTGATAAGCTATATAGATTGGTAACTATATATCTACAGTCAAGCACCTTTGTCTCCCTCTGACACAAACAAAAACGGTTGGTTGGAACTGTAAATGTGTGTATTTTCTGTTTAGATATTTTGACATCAAACTGCGTATTGTAAAGAAATGTTTTGAGGTATTTATTTGAACTGTGTTACAGTTTATGAAAGTCTGTATGACAGTCAGTGTTACTTGATACTCATTCATATCTAAGCTATAATGACGAATAAGAGTAGGCAGTAGGTTTCAAAGTTAAACGCATATATTTCATTCTCATGACTTCGTCTTAGTATATGCAGCTTATTTCATCGAATATGCTTAGTCTCGTATCCTACTGGCACTGAATCGCACTCAGGTGTACTATGGATTATTATTATTCCCTAGGGTTCCTAGTGGAACATATTCATTCAGAAGAACATTGCCACTTCACTCTATTCTTTACAGTCTTTCTCAGATGACTCCACAATTCCTAATACAGTTTCCATTTCCTCCCTCATGTGTTCGCATTCATTTTACCCTGGGATGCCCACCCCATTGTTTCCTAATCCGGTTTCACTAGAGGTCCTGGTGTGGGATGTCAGTCAACAGTCTTCTCAGCGTATGTCCTATCCATTTCCATTTCCTTCTGTTTGTTTGTTGGACCATATGTTCTTGGTTGTTTCATCACCTATTAGAGTTCCTTCTTGGTTATTCTTTCCAACAGGCCTCACGTGATCTTCAGTATCGAGTTGTTGGAGGCATCTGTTGATGAAAGTTTGGAGTCTGTTGGAGACGTTTTACGTGACCATATAGAATCACCGACTTTAAATTTGTATTTAGAACTAGGATCTTGTTTCTTCTACTGGGTGCAGTAGATTTCCACACTGAATTTGGAGAAACAAAGGTTTGTCTTGCTTTGCCACTCCTACTTTTGACATCTTCATTTGTACCGTCTTAGTTAAAATGATGCTACATAGGGCAAATCCCTTCAGATTTTTCCCCGTTGATAGTGACCGGCACATGTTGCTGTTGGTTGGATGTCTTCATCACTTCTGTCTTCTCTATTTTCATTTGAAGTTCTGCTTTCACTGCTCCTTCTGTCAACTTGTTGATTACACCTGTACATCTTTGAGTTTTTGCGACATTAGACATAAATCATCCGTGAGTGCAATATAATCATCCGTAGACTTTAAATTAAAATCAATTTCAAAATTTTAAAACATGGCTGTATTACAAGAATTGGTTTTATTAGCGCTGTAGTTTAAATGTATATAACTGCTCTTACATATGTATAGTAAATCAAATCGTTGAAAAGAGTCATTTCATTGAATCTTGTGTTTTTTATTTTGCCCATATGAACTTTAAAAGATTATAAATTAACGTTTGTTACTCTTCTGCATTTACTACTTTCTTGGAAACATGAATAAACAGTTCAACGGAGAAACTTTTTAGGGACTGTTTGTTCTTATTTCTATGTTTTGATGGATATATTTCGTTTACTAATTTGTGTCTGTAAAAATGGCGGTGATGATATTCACCAATATTGTTGGTTGTTTAACAGAAGATAGCGATTGGCTTGTTAAAGTTCCAGTTATAACTAAAATGAAGAGGTAACTTCAAAACTTAATTATAATCGGTAAGGTATCTTACTGTCAGTCGCAAATATAAGCATTAGGAAGGCAAAACACTAAGAGGATAGATTTAATCTCACATAAAACTGGAATAAAGTATTAATTTGTGGGAGTGATAATAAAGTATGCTACCCAAAATACACCAGTTTAAATCAGCACCACTAGGGTACAAGTAAAAACGAAGCATTTTTGATAAACAAGATCACGTTTACTATCACAAAATCATGAAGATGCCATTTTATATGCCTAAATCTGAATCTTGATGCCTAGATATGATTATGAAGCAGCATTCACTGCCACAGACCAGCAAGAATAGTACATTCAAACTGATGTATTTAGGGGTAAACTTTACCACCACCCATTTATGGTGCTTTGTCGCGCAGCCACAACAAAAAAATACTCAGTTCCCTTATTATTATTATTATTATTCCCTTGCGTCCCGAGTGGAATATAGGGCTTCAACAACACATCTCCACTTTATTCCGTTTGCTGCTGTCTTCTTCAACTGAGTGCACGATTGTCCATAATCTCTCATCTCCTCCTCCCCACATAATCTAATCCATGTTACCCCACACCAATGACCCACTCGTCGCTACATATTTGGATTCCACTCGAGCCACGGCCTGGCGAGCAATGTCATTCAATGGTTTCCTCAATGTATGCCCAATTCATCTCCATTTTATCCCACATATTTGGTGAACGACAAGTTCTTGGTTATTTTGTTCCCAGCCAGAGTTTCTTGTTGCTGATTCTTTCTAATCATTTTATCTTCAGTATGGAGACAGCGAAAGGGACAGATGTTGATATAAGTCTGAAGCAGCCTGTTGGAAATCTTTGTCGTGATACGCCAAGTTTCTGACCTGTATAGAAGGATCGACTTGATATTGGTGTTGACAATCAGAATCTTGTTGTTTATGCTGAATGCAGAAGATTTTCAAACTGGTTTCAGGTTGATTAAAGAAAGAGAGATGGATGTTTTTCTCTAATCAGCACATTTACAAATTTATTCAAAAGGATTACATGCATTGTACATTATTTTTGAACCAATGGAATATTAAGCATGGCAGAATTTGAGTATTTTCGAAATTCATTTTATTCACTGGACAAAAGAAACCGAAGTAACTGACCGATAGTAAAGAAAGTACTATGTCAGAGAGAAGGGATACAGAAACTTATTATCATCTAGGCAGGTATATGACTGAACTTATTTCAACTGTTAAAAGATGACAATTACAAATATGAACAGACTTTTTTGTTTTTGATTGCTGCTTGATTCCACACTGCATTTTTGGTACAAGTATGGAATCTTCAGCATGTGATATCGGTAGCCCAAATTTTGCAGGCCGACCATAGATATCGGGTGTTCGTCGGCAGGAGATCGAACCTCGGACCATGTGCATGGTCGGCGAGAGTCCTAACCACTGTGCCATCGACGCACACAAAGAATATTCTTTCCGATAACTTATTCATCAGGTTCTACAGTTGTGTTTCTATAGTAGTTAAACAATAATTGTTTTCGACAACAGTTCAGAACATAAGTATGCAGTTGGGATAACCGGAACTTTGTGCAAGAAAAGCCAAACAGGTTCAGCCACTATTTCTAATCTGGCTTGCTGTATTCTTTTTCTTGATGTATCAGACATTCAGTTTTGTGTTATCTCATACAGGGCTTTTTTTGAACTGTGATCGATAGATTTTATTGATTCGATGTTATTTGAAAAACACTAGTATCGTCAATAGCAAGAATCTTCTAACTGCGATAGATATATCACTAGCCTTATTTCCATAAATGTTTATCCTTTTTATGAGCTACTTGTGAGTAGCATGGTTTTATAGAGCAGTTTATTCACAAATTTTCTGGGTTTTGAGGTTTATACATTTGTAATTGAGTATAGGTAACTAAATGTTACATTCAATGAAATTCTAATGGGAAAGAAGACTAAGCCAGAATAATATAGACGGAAGAAACTGGACTGTTTAAAGTTTAAAAACAACAGGGCGATCACTATTTGAATATTACCATAAAGTTAATTTCAAAATAATAATTAGGTTTTTAGGATTCTGGGTTTTTTAAAGGTAGTTGGATTAATTTTGTTCTAGATTCCGTCACCAAACGAAGTCAGTTAGAGAATCAATAAAGAACAAGAAGCACTGGACAGATGCTTCGTTCTAGTGTGTAATTCTTCGGCAGTGCACACCTATGATCCCACCAGAGACAGAAACTGGAGCTTTCAGGTTAAGTCAGCTTTATGTAGCCAGGTTGACTCTGGAGATGCATACAGTGAGATAAAAACGTTTTCATCAAGATACAGTCAGAGCGCATGGCAGCAATAAGGTCGAAGTGGCTCCGTTCGAGAATTTTCAACGGAGGGCGAGTGTGGCGTGTGTTACGACATGATTTTGTAAGTGGTACGTATATTGTGTGTGTGTGTGTGTGTGTGTGAGGTCTCCTGTAAGGATATTTAATAACAGAGTGATGGAATATGTGGCGAAGAGAAGAAATGAAAGATTCTTGTCAGAGGAACTATGAGCATGGAAGGAAGATAAGAGAAGCACAAATCGATGTACATGAGCAAATACTATCATGCCCTTCCTTTACATTTTTTCAAAATCATATAAAATATACAATTGAAAGTGGAATATGGATTATTTGCTGGTAAATTACAGTTTGATTTTATTTATATCTTATTCATAATAGCAATGGGAATTTAATTTCACTCCTTGATTTCCATGAATTGAGTAAAATTTTAATGATTTCACAAGAATGACATGTAGGACTTACTTTCTTCCCTTTTAAAACTGGATAGTATTGTGGTTCGTATACAGGAGCTGGTGTCTATAAGGAAACAGATAAAAAAGAAGCAAATCATACTGTTAATCTAAAACATGACCATTCAAAAGTTTCGATGTACATAAATTTAAACTTGCTGACAGATTTTATCTAGTGAGAAGAAAAGTGATCGCAAGATGTTTTCGCGCGTAGTATAATAAGTGTTAGTAACGTAATACAAAACCACATAAGATCAACTACTTTAGGAAATTCAGACTGTAGCTGACCGCTTCTGTTGTATCCTATTAAGTAGGCAGAGACGAATAGGAGATACATTTTGGTGATAACGGTTTTATCGTAAGTTCTAGAATTTCTTAAGAGATACTCATTTAGATTATAGGTGATAGCGTACCGTCACACAGTGCCACTAATCTCATTTATGCTAAAGTTCAACAATCTTCACCTGGTTTTATTGACTTGCAATAGAGAAATGTAAGGTCAGATTGCCATAATATTTGGATTTTATCCATTTTATTAGTGACTAACCGAAAATAGGCAGTTCGTCTTAGTCAGGATTCACATATGAACTGTAGCATGATTCGTGTTGTTAACACCTCAATGAGAAACATGAGTGTATTCAATTGCAGAGCTGGCTTTAATGGGATAATGGAAATATCTTTTTACTAATATCTAAAGCATTTTACAATTCATATTGAGAGATATGTGCGCCAGTCATTCAGTGGTAGAGTGCTTACTAGGTTCGCAAGTGGCCAAGGTTCGATTCCCCAGGGGTGCACCCTTAAAACTTACCTAGTCCACTAGCTAGTAGTAAATGAACCGGGAAAGGGGAAATTCTGGACATGAGGTTTGCAATCCCGTCCCATAAAAGCAACACAACTACTGCTGAAACTTCAAAGTCCGATCTTGAATGCCTCGGAACACAAGGGAGTGGAAAAGATGAGAGATATGGAAAAGGGGAAAATCTAGAAGTGTAAATAGCTACTGGCGTCTTTATTCTTCAAGGTTGTAACATTTACATTCTAGTCAGTTGACGTAAAGACACTCGGTTTACATCGTACAGTCTGCTTTTATCGTCATTAATCCTTTGTCAATTTTAAAATTTTTGTCTTAACAAATTTAAGAGTCACGTGGTTATTCATCAACCTACTATGTGGTAGAATGTTCAAGTCTTTTTTGATTGGTCAACTAGTAATCGAAGAGAGAGAGAGAGAGTATTGGCATTTATTATAATTGGTGAAATTCTAACCAATGACGTATCTGTCACCACCATCGAGTATGGTTAACCTTGACAAGCAGTTATCACGTACAGTAGGGACCGAGATATATGTTGTTCCGACTAGAATTTGGACATAGTTGTAGTGATTTTGTAAAATTGACTAAATGACGTGTTTTTCAGCCGAAAAAAAGATATTAGAAAATTTTTTTTTACTTTTGCACAGACATTTGACAAGCAAAATAAGTATCTATCTTTCGAGATATTGGTATTTACGTTTGTTAACAAATTTACTTTACTTTGTAAAGATCGTGGACAATGTAAAATTTGTATTTTTTTTTCAAAAAAGAACGTTTGGAAGCGATTTTTATAAAAAACTCGCAGAATCTGTTTTTGACTTTCAGTGCTTTCAACTAACAGTTTTGTTTACAGGATTAGATAGACTGAATTCATAATAAAACCAGGATAGTGTAGTACCCAGAGAGTAGATTTTAGCATGTTGAAATGTGGTACGATGCAAAAGAAAGACAATTTCAGTGTTTACTGTTTAAGTTGCTTAGCATTTTCCATTGATTAATTATGTTGAACCGTGAGATTCATTCGCTTTTGACAAGTAGGTTTTGGGTAGGGCGCCTTCACTGACATCTGGAGATTAAAATGATGTTATTTTGGTTGATGATGACTAACACTGATGAAGTCTAGGATGTATATTTCATCTTATTTGGGACTTGTCAACTGGATGCACTTCTGTTCCCATTGAGACGTATTCTGGTGTCTGATATGATGGGTGAAAGGTTTGAGTTTCACTGGGGTGTAGGTAGGTGTATCCAGCTTATAAGTCTCACTGCTTATCATCATCAAATGAAATGTAATGTGAGTGTTCAGCTGCATATATATTTAGATAATCAAAACAAGTGATTCAGTGAACAGACTCTTTTCAACGAATTTATCATCAAGCTGTACAATCGTACATATGGTTTTTAAGAAGTTATATCTGGTGAGGGAATTGAATCATAGGTGTGAATGCATTAAATAATAATAGTAGTATGAAATACAATTAAAATGTTTGTGATTATAATCATAGTTAAGTGTCAAGTGGCAAAACAAATTAATGTCATACATAGAATAATTCATAGGAGGGATAGAACTTGAAAAAGGATGTGCTATTATAGGATTAGTAGGCAAATCGAATAAGATAAAAACGTTACGTAACACTGTGTGAAATTTGATAACATAGAATTTAACGTTGTAAAACAGAATCGATTTAGAATGATAAATGGAACAAGTGAAATAATACCAGGGTCAGTTCAAAGTGAGAATAGTAATAGTGACAAATGACGTAATAAAAGAAGGGTATACAAATTTTTATACATCCTATGAATTATTCTATATATGACAATAATTGTTTTGCCACTTGACAATTAACTATGATTATAATCACAAATATTTTAATTGTATTTCATACCATTATTTTATGCATTCGCACCTATGATTCAATTCCCTCACCGGATATAACTTCTTAAAAACCCTATATATACCATCGTATAATAATAATTTAATAATTTTTCCTTCACGTTCCCTGTTGAACTTACGGCCTCAAGCTGGTGGCTTGAAGTTTCTGTAGCAGTGTTCAATTTTACAGAATGGGGTTGCTAGCCTCATGTCCAACCTTTCCGCTTTACCAGGATTATTTCTGGCTTAGCGAGGTAGAGAAGTGCGTCGGTCGGGAATCGAACTCCGGACCATGGTCTGTGAGCGTCCTAACCACTGTGACACCGACGCACGATCGTATAGTTTGATAATAAATTCGTTGAAAACAGTCTTTTTACTGATACACATGTTTCGATTTTCTATATGTTACAATGGGAATTCTTCATGAATATTCAGATAACACATATTTCTATGAAGTCGAAGAATATTTATAAAACTTTGGTGTATTGATTTTTGACGGTACTTGTCAATTAAAGTTTTGATCATTATAGCAGTCAATGCACGCCTGTTCAATGAAAAGTTTCTTGTATAGTAATTCACTCCCTGCTAACAGCGTCCTTTGAATACAACAATCATGAATACTGAATATTCATTGAGAAGATAATGTTTTTCAAGCCTGTCTCACACACTGAAGGTTAAATAAACGGATGGTTTTCAAAAATGTTACAATTGATCAAACGCTTTCATTACACTGAAGCTTTCCATCTCTCTTCTTTCTTGCTACTGTTAGAGAATGAGAACTGAAATGAACAAGTTGAACATTGACTCTAAAAAATGATGTTTAATAGTATCTGCAATACACTACTGGTTGATATAAGTAGTTGGGAATTACTTTCACCAACCGGTAGTATCTCTATTTGATTCAGCCATCTCAGGTGAAACAGTCTAAGTACACGAAAGGTAAGTTTGTCCCTAAACAAGTAAAAGCGCCGCCTGATATCTACATCAACATTTTTGTTATTAGCCAAGGATAATTACTGACTGGTTAGTCATGGAGATTGCCAGTATGTGTCACATTTACGCCTGTTGATGATAAAACTATCTTAAAACGAAAAATAAGAACAATAGTAATTGCAGTTGTAAAACTATCGTCATAGTCAGCAAGAATGATTAAATCATTAATTAGTTAATTAATATCACTTACAGATTTTGGGATAGGTAAACTAATTGCATCTGCTTTCGAATGCTATAAATAAAAGAGAAGGATTAAAAATAAAACGACGCATTAGATTTATCACATAACATTTAAAAAAAATAACTGTACTCTGCTTAAATGGAGTGACTTACATTTTTAAATAATTAGGAATAGATCAAAAGATGAACTTTTAGTCTTCTGAATACACTAGAAGACTTAGGGGATAGATAATCTGTTTCTTCCTAATTTCGAACTCTTCACAGTACGCACTCATACTGCGGGGCTTGAATCCAAAACCTTCTGGTTACAAGGCGAGCTCGTAGACAGTTAAGTGACTTGCCCTATTCATGTGGGTAGCTACCTGGGTTCTAGTGAGAAGTCATGACCTGTAGGGTACAGCACAAAGGGTGTGAGGACAAATACTCACCAATTATTCTCGCTAGTGGCAGCGCTATGTCGTGAAGTGGTAGAAGTTAGAATTCATGAACCATTGGATCGGGTTCCACTGGCTTAATGGTTTATGAGCTCGCCTGGTAACCACGTCTCGGGTTCAAACCGCAAAGTGTAGGGGCGTACCAATGAAGAGTCCCAAACTGGGACAGTACTCCTGGTAGGTTTTCCAATGGTTGTCTAACTGATGTCAGCTCATGATGAAATCCTTAAACCAATCAAACGAAAACCCCCTATAAATCAATACTTGAGGATAGACAATCATTTTAAAAGTACATAGTGTACATTTTATAAATTTTATGAAAGGAAAAGTAAGTATTTCTCAAGCAGACAAACCTTTCTTGTAGAGAACAAATAAACAGTGCATTTAAGACAATATTCTCAAATTGAGGTTAAAGAGTCAGACTGACAGATAAAGGTATCCATATGCTGACGATGAGAATTCAAACGGTATTAATAAACATTGTTCTGTAGTGAATCGCATAATCACGGGTTACTTAATAAATTATTTCCCCTGAATGTAGATTTTGTCGTAAGTTGACATCTCTTAGATAATTTTTGGTAACCAAAAGGGTACTGTGTTGAGTGTGAAACGGATGACCATCAGTAGCGTTGGTTGGTAATAGCACTGTATTGTTAATTGACAGGAAGTAAGAATTCACCATTAGTTGGATTCTAGTTCGGTGGCAGAGTAATCAAAGGATTCATCTGTAATTTGAAAGTTCTGGGTTCGATCCCATGTGGGATCGCTGGTGCATACTACACTGGAAAGAATCAGCTTTCTAGTGCTCCTCACTTTCCGGCGATTCTCCAACTAATGTCACTTCCATTAAGAAATCATAAATAATTTACAGAACTAGATGTATTTATGCCGCCAGTTAAGAAATGAACTCCTTTCTTCATTTTTATTATTGCTAATTTACCGCTGAAGCAGTTAAGTGTTACTTATTTTTCTGTCATCATATTAGTTTGGAGTATAAGGTAGAGGTTCATTTTATCTCTTACCTTTTGATCATGTAATTCATTCTTGTAGGATACTAAAACTAAATAATAACTGTAGGTTGATCAACTTACAAGTTTTTATAGTTCTCTTTCCATTCATTTTGTGCACTATCTTCTAGCTTATAAAATTTCACGAAGGAGATGAAGATACAAACACGCTTCATATAGTTTTGGAGTGAAACATGTTACATCTGAGTTACTTGTCCGTCCATCAACATCTCTCTTCAAGAGAAGATACACTAAAGGTCGAACAGTGTTATGCTGTTTATTCCGTGCTGTTCACTGAATTCTACCAGTCAGGTTTGCAGTGCTATCGAGAAGCTCCAAAATGATGTCCGGATTTTAGTAAATGGCAACTAAGATTTTATAAGCAAATGCAGTTGCGATTGCATAAACTAGTTCGTATTAAGTAATGGGCCAAGTTAAACTATCACAGCCAAAACCATAGTGATCTTGAACAACCAATCAAAACTCAGATGCAAAAAAGTCACATAATCATTGAAATATACACTAAAAAATATTTCAGACTCGATGCTACATTGTATGGTTGTAGCCTATGTGTTATAAGAATGTCTCCCAGTCAATACACAAACGGTCTATAGAGAAATTGTACCATGCACGATATACCCAGTCATCCAGGTGACTGTCGGTTATGGTACTTTGAGATCCATTGATATTTCTGACACTATTCTTCAACCTACTCCTAACTCTAACCATACTCCAAACTTTGACTTTAACCCTAGACCCAAAACCTTAATCTTAAAACCCATAGCCCTATCTAACAGTATACATTTGCAGAAAAAGTACCTAGGAAATAAGTAGAATACTAGATCTATCCTCTCCAAGTGCAAAATGGCAGGCGTGATTTGATTTGGAATGATATTTCATAGCACTCCCTGTGACTGATTGGTTCTTGAAGGTCAACATGTGAAAAACTTTGACTATAGCTATGATACTTTAACTTCGCCCACTAATGAACTGCATTATCAAATAGATGGTTTTGTAATAGGAAACCGGCTATGACCTTTATATGTAAACATGTTTTAAGTCAGCTCTGCGTGTACCTCCTTAAAGGACAGCATAAGCAAAGATGCTTACTACAAATGGATGACATGTCCACTGTATATGAAGTAAAAAGGAAGGAAGCCAAGAAAATGTTAGGGAAAATTTATAACACAACATAGAGATAATGAAACTATCCATTTCTTAGTTGTTAATTTGCTTAAACTGGCTGATGCTTCAAATGAGAAATTTATATACCGGAAGTTAACATAGAGGGAAGAGTTCCTACAGTTTAATATCTTTGTCCTAGTCAAATGCAAATTATCAAGACGGATCTGTTCAATTAGCAGATTGTGGGTAAGAAGAGAAATTCTTGAGGGAAAGGTTTATAAACAAGCATCCCAAAGGAAACAAAAAGCTGAAATTAATTTAGAAGACTGTATCTAAGATGAAGTTATCTTTATTATAATTCAACTGTTTAAAGATTGTTTACAGAAGACAGTAAAATGAACCTTTTATGATCTCGAAGTTCAAAAGACAAACTGTAGCAACAGAAGACAAGGGCCAGGAAACAGATCCTTTATTTAGGAAATTAATAGATATTTATAGATTTTTATGTACATTATGATAGATTATTGTAAGCAGAAAGACACAGTCTTCTGATTGGTTGTTCCTCACAGAAAGTTAACCTTGCATTTCTTTTTGGCTGTTTCTTGAATGTCGGATCATCTATATGTTAACTGTATCCACCTACGCAAAGCCTTTGTTCTCATTTTCTTCACGACCAATATTGGGGACATAAACATTGACGTTAGTTACTGTCCATTAATTTTGACTAACAGCCAGCTCTTACCACAAAACCATCCATGCTCACCACATCATAATGTAAATACTAATTTACTTCTTTTTGTGGAAGCACTTATATTAGGTGTACAGGGAGATTTTTATCTGTTCTGGTTGTTGAGCATTATCCTAAACAGCTCTCATGAACCTTCATCATGCGGTGCTTATCCAACTTTGACCGAACTATTGTTATGACAACTTGTATAAGTAAGTAATATACGCATATACTGATCGCTTAGTCAACAAATGTATTGATAATCTGAAAAATTGACATGGTTTTCTGATTTAACTGTGTAGATATGTAATCAAATCAATCTTCAGTAAGGTGTATACAATTCCATAATCTGGATCAAATTAATAGATTTATTAGAATATATATGTATATATATGTCTTTGACCTTCTTCATTACCGATGGGTTAGTTTCACACTAACTACTTTTTGTACAATGAAAAAAAGTATTTCTGTAAACATACCCTTAACACAATCATTGAAATGTAGTATACTGTAGGGTAGAATAAAATTCTTCTTGTATTGAAAAAAAAGTGGAATATAGTTGAAATTTCCATTATCTACCACTGAAATATCTTTCATAATTACGTTACACTAGTGAAATTATTGAATGAATTATAACTGAGAAATATACTACAGCTATACAACTTATGTAATTATATTTATTGGATATTGCTAAATCTTTGTGACATTTATAACTTTAGTGGATCGCTAGTTAAGGATACACTTTTGCATATGCCATTGAAATGACCTAATTAGTAGAGAGATGTGTGAAGGCAGGTCGTGTACCCGTGGAACAGGCTTTAATAAGCAGGTAATTGCCTTTGTATAATTCAGTTCAATCATATTTATATGGCTTGATAACTAGCCAATAACCAATGTCATTTGTCTCGTCGTTTATAGTATCGGTGCCGACTAAATACTATCAGCCAAGATTGTAATATTTTCGCCAAGCTAGGTGAATTGCCATTTTGGTGCAATTTGAAATGATGTCAAATGGTTGAAGGCAATGGACAGGAACCATTGAAAAATGACAGTTTAACCCGTCAACAACAGGCGCTAACAAAATTTTCAAACTAGTCATTTTATTGTTTATGAATGAGTTTATAGCTTATCCTAGTAACTACGTTTAGTGTAGTGGCATAATTCGGTAGCTATGTTCACGTAATTGATATATATTTTTTTAGATATCTGACAATGAATTTTGAAATAAAAAAAGTGTTATGAGGCATTTGTTTTGGCGGCTTCAAACTCTTTACTTGTCTGTGGAAGCAAATTTTGCTTCACAATTATATCTAGACAGCAGGTCTCTAGGTGAAACATATAAAACTGCCTTTTCATCACCTAATACTATTATATGTAGCCTGTTGCATAAGAAATACTTTTTTTAGTTTGTATTTTAGTAGACTTAGTTCAAATGGAAGTATTTAGATGTGTTCAGCATCGTCACTCCTGTTTCCCGTCTAAAGTGCGAAAACTAAAATGCATCGAAAATAATATTCATTGAAACAGTTCACAGTGCTGCCTGTAACTGAGGTATCAAAAGTCTAATTTGCTTTGTTTGAGAGAAACTTCATAAAATTCAAATCAACGTTTTAAGTTGGTAGGATACTAATTGTATTTCCAATTAGATTTAGGTCACGGAGAGACTATTTTAATTGGACAATTCCGTGTCCCAAACAGCCAATCAGAATAAGCTATTTTATTGTAGGCCTAGAAAAATAGTCGAATTCAGTCGTACTTACAGTCAAAGAGCAGACTTTGTCTTCTGATATTTATATAGCTCAGTGAACTGGAGGTTCGGGTACTGATCATCGGTATTCAGTTAGCCTACCTTAATCTTTTCAGTTTCATTACTACTGACATCTTATTCAACTCGGACACTTCAGTGGAAATTCCAACTGCAACAACCTCTATAGAATGTACTAAATTCTTTAACAAGAAAATTATCAAGGGTTTGTTAACGTTGGCTTTATTTGTATGAAAATTCAGTAAATATAACATTTTAGCTACGGGGATGAGATTCAAACCCAAGCGAAGGAGACCAAGCCTCGACGAGTCACTGAATTCCGTCATCTTCAACCACACCAAACTAGACAAATGAATATTATATTGAGTTGTACTGTAGCAATATTATTGTGTGCGTCGGTGGCACAGTGGTTAGGACTCTCGCCGACCATGCACATGGTCCGGAGTTTGATCCCTCGCCGACGCACACTCGATATCTGTGGTTGGCCTGCAAAATTTGGGCTATCGATATCACATGCTGAAAATTCCATACCTGTACCAAAAAATACAGTGTGGAATCAAGCTGTAACCAAAAAAAAATTAATATTAATAATAGCTGTGGGAAGAATATATCCTCACCTGTGAATAGCAAGGAGGTAGGCGTCATTCTGAGGTATAATTAAATTTCAGCCTTCAATATTTAAAAAAAATAGTGAAATAAAAGGAAAACAAATAAGGGAACTTACCAAACTTATTATACGCCATGTATTGGTTTGTTCAATTGTCTTTAAATAAAATGTATCCGCTTCTTTAATATAAACCATAGTACCAATAGGAAAAGCATGGGATACTTTACTCAAATCCATTTCAGTATCTAATACCATTGCCTGTTTTTTTGTTATAAAATGGATTAGATATATAAATGAGTAAATAAATGACTCAATAAGAAAAACCGTGAATTAAGTATAAGGAAAATCAACTTCACAATTTGCAAATTACACACTTCAAGGTGAAATTTCACCCCTGTATCCCTTAGAAACCGAAGTTACTGAAATCATAATGTAGGATCTTAAGTGGCGATCAAGAAAGCAGGCACTACTGATTACTGTAGGTAGTATCCAGATATTCATATTAATCAATCAGTAGTATTGTGGCATGAGCTACTGATAAGATTTATCAGTGTGGTGAGAGCAGGCTGCTAGCCGATTGGTTGGCACTAATCTACGTTAAGGTCTAGGTCACTAATATGGGCCGTGAACAAGGCTGAGTCAACAACCAATCACAGCGAAGTTAACGTGGCAAAATATGATTCGCAGATAGAGAACTCTGTTTGTCAAGGAATCCCGAAACAACCAATCAGAAGCCTGCGTTTGTCTACCTAAACAACCAATCAGATGACTGCGCTTGTCTATAATAATGTTGTCTGAAATATGTATAAATACGTGTTGATTTTCATAATAAAATGATCTGTTGCTTCGCCCTTGTCTTCTGTTGTTACATTTGGTGTCGCTGCCTACCGACAAATGAAAAGCCTATACCCTGCAGTTTTTGATGGAGACATATGGATCTTCCGGCAGGACTTCAAGGCTTCTGCGCAGTTGAGTGGCGTTCAAAATCTGTCAGCGATGGAGCTGCTACTTGAGACGCTGCTGGGAGGTCGGGCGAAAGCAGCATATGAAGGTGTGGGCCGAAGTATGGACGAATGTTCGACAGGGTCAGGCAAACAGTTTCCAAAGTGGGAAGGACCATATATGGTCACTTCGAGATGGGGTTACGCAGACACAGTCGCAATGGCGAACAATGAGAGGCGCGTGAACGTCAGCGAGCTCCAGAAATGGATACAGCGAGACAAGCCAACGATGACGCCTGCACCAAGTAGATCAAGCCGACTTCAGTCGCACGTATTTGACGGGGGGACGAGTGTGGTGAGAGCAGGCTGCTAGCCGATTGGTTGGCACTAATCTACGTTAAGGTCTAGGTCACTAATATGGGCCGTGAACAAGGCTGAGTCAACAACCAATCACAGCGAAGTTAACGTGGCAAAATATGATTCGCAGATAGAGAACTCTGTTTGTCAAGGAATCCCGAAACAACCAATCAGAAGCCTGCGTTTGTCTACCTAAACAACCAATCAGATGACTGCGCTTGTCTATAATAATGTTGTCTGAAATATGTATAAATACGTGTTGATTTTCATAATAAAATGATCTGTTGCTTCGCCCTTGTCTTCTGTTGTTACATCAGTAGTATGTAAAGAGATGTTCGTTGACATGAAACACATCAAATAGCAGGAAGGTCTATTTGACTTCAGAGAGAGGAAATGATTCAACATTACGGAGAAACATGAGAGACATGGAAGGAACAAGAAGAAACACAGTATGAAGGAAGGCGAGAAGTAGCACAACACAGAAGATCTGTGCAAACGGTGATTTGAAGATAAGGTACACATAATTTGACTATATAAAGATGCTAAATTCCAAATAGTCATTCCTTTACCAAGTCTTTCGTCTTCTACTATTGCAGTATGTGGCAATAAGTATAAGAGAACATATTACTTTTATTACATTTAAGTAAACATATAACTAATTGTTGTATATGTATGGTGATAAGTTTTTACTAAAGTAATTTGACATACATAGTTTAATTATCCATCCTGATTAAAGGTTTTGTATTTACCCTTATGGAGGGAAGTATACAAGAAGGAATAAATTACTAAATAAGCATGCATATAATTCGCGTTCAGAGGTAACTGGTAGTTAATGCAGAAGTTGAGATGTAGGTCATGTGTTTGTTAAAAGTTATCAGTGAGGAATATTTTCTCTCTCAATTAGACCTACACTTTTGCTTCCGTTGAAATCTGATATGTCAGTCTGACAGTAGAGACTACCAATATGGTGTTCTAGCCTAACTATAACAGTTACTAGATTTCAAATTGAGCCAATTTATAAGAAAACTTCCAACATGCTACAGACTTTCATCAGTAGCTACCTTCATTGTATACAAAAGATTAGGTAGCCAGGAAGCGTTAACAACAAGGAACTCTTGGAAGTGACTAATTAATCGGAAATGAGAGTTGGATGAAAATAAGCTGAGTGACATCAAACACCAGCTTCTCTAGTGGAACCTGAATGGGAAATGTCTAGTTGGCAGTCCGAAGTTGACACAGAGTATATCGTATGACGGGGAAATGAAAGCTTTTGAACAACCATGGAGCCAGCTAAAATAACTACGGAGAACATAGTGAAGTCGACATATGCTGTTGAAGCCGTGTGTTGTACTAAGAAACTAAGTGAATAATGATTTAAGAAGACTATTTGAATCTATTTTTATGAAGGCAAGATTCTTGATATTTATTTAAAATCATTATAAGAATATAAGGGATATCCACTCAGAAAATAGATTAAAACTCTATAGGTTGTAGTCTGAATTACTTTTCTCTGACCACCTCGGGTGAGTAGACAATTAATAAGTTAAATATTACTCATAGTCTGAGGAAATACTCATATTATACTGGTCAGCTACAGTATCTGAAAATTCATAGGGTACTAGCGACTCTTTTCTTCACAAAGATTCACCAGAAGTGTGAGAAACACATCATTTGGTGTTTCAAAAATAAAGTTGTGCACAACTATTAGTTATGCCAAATTTATTACTAAATGACAAGCATTTCCACTGATTACTGATGTCTGCTGATGAAGCATATAGTAAAACCACTAAGTTCGGAAAAGGAATATTCCCGTGCATACTGTTCAGTTTTGAGTAACTGAAATCAGTCGATACTTTGCTTGAAATACACTGTAACACCAGCTTTTATTTCAGTAACAGGTGGTTTGAATTCAAAACTCAAATAGCGAAATAAGTTTCTTAAGAATTATTCAGTTTGAATCAAGAAGATTCTCCTACTTACGGTCTCCTAAAGTTCTCCGCCGTTATTTGGTTAATTAATTAAGTTATTCTTTAAATTTATGAGCGTTACCCTGATATTATACAGTTTTCTTCTTTATGGGTAATCAATCAGCCAAAACAGAGACTATAGGCGACTAATCACTTTATATATGATGTTGTTAAGACGACATACTGATTATTTTGTTGGGCATGTCGCTTATCAACTGGATAGCTTTCAGAAGTTCAACTCCAGTGCACAGATAAGGTATAACGTACTTCCGAATATCATGATGACTTTTTCTTCATTCATTTCATTCCGAGTGGAACACAGGACTTCAAGTTTTAAGCTTTGAAGTCCCAGTAGCAGTAATATTATTTCATGAGCTAAAGTTGCTGGCCTCACACCAAACCTTCCCTCTCTTTCCGCTTTTACTAATGGTTAGTGAACTCGGAGAAGTTTAAAAGTGCATCCGTTAGGAATCAAATCTGGACCACCTGCGTTACTGGCAATATTCTATCACCAGATCACCGACGCACACGATAATAATAGGAAATAATTGTTTTCAAGTGTTAGTTAACATTGGTTGATATTATGAAAGATGTCAGCTAGACAGCCAATGAAATCAAGGACGCGTCCGTGACCACACCTCTAGAGACCTAACTCAAGACCACCAGGTTACTAGGGGACTCATTGACCATTCAGCTATTGGGACGGAATGCAATAGCCTATGAATTCTAATCTCTTCCAGTTCGCGATATATATATAGCTCCACAACCAGCAATTGCTGTGAACGAGTATTTCTCCTTACGCTCAACTTGGAGGAACCTACTAGTAACGACTCCTCAATAGAATTATTTATTACTGACTAATTGCTTTAGATAGAAGTTCATTAGAGAATAAACTTTTATTTATACCTCATTTGATAAAGACTGTTGAAAAGATATTGTTATGAGCCAATGGAGTTGTAAATCACGAAATGCATTCCATCAAATTTGCAGAATGTTAATTTGCTCGCCTCATAACCCAATACGCAGTAGATGTATATGTGCACACTAATGAAGACCTTCAGACCAGCATGAAATATGCAATCAATGCTCTCTAGTTTCCAATAGTTCACTGAATAATATCAGTTCCTGAAAACCAATCAGATCTCCACCAATCCAACTTTGGATGTTATTTCAATACCATTCTCTGTTTTATTTGATTACTAAAAAATTGTATTTTAATAAAATTCCGTTTATATTAGCCAACGGCAATTAGAGATCCTTGAAAACCAGGAAACACTGGACAGTTATTTCCTACTACATTGAAGTCAGTTCATATGCCTTCAAAAACATCATAATCTAACAATCAATATCCAGCTTATTGATGGATACTGTGTGGATAACCTGAAGCTGCAGTGAGAAGTCGTGAACAATGAGGTTAACAATGTTAAGGTGAAGTGGATGCTCACTGAGGGCATTGATTGAGGGTGGCGTTATGTTACGGACTAACTGTTAGAATCCAGGGGCTATTGAATTCCTGCCCAAGTGGCTGAACGATCTCTTTACCTGAAGGTACCGGGTTCCATACTATATAGGGTCGCGGGTGTATACTGCTAAACAGTCCCAGACTAGGACGAAACAGCTGCCCAGTGACCCTTGGTTTTACACTGATCTCTAACTGATATTGATTCGTAACAAAACTTACATTGAAATTAATCGAAATCCCTACCGAAACCTACAATCTAAGTAAGTACTATATGTTTATTATTAATATTATCTAATGAGTGATTCTTGTCACATTTTGAACTTAACCGTCAAATAGTTTTAGGCGTGTAAAATGAATATTATAGAACGACTAGATTTTTGAATTACTGATTGGTACCATTACAAATAATCACATCAAATTCATACTTATATGTATGAATCTTTGTATGTACAAACAATCAATCTATGTATATGTATGTATAATATTCGTCGATGTAGTTTCTATCTTCACAGTTTTAAATAACTTGAAACACCTCACATATTTATTTGAATGGATAAGACAGGGTGAATGAATAGTAAAATTAATTTTTGACATTTGACATTGAATTTAACTAACTAAATTATAGTAATGTCAAACAAAAATAATTCTATTTAGATATATGAATAGTAATTCATGCAATACTTATCAAAAAATAAAGTTATTTTCAGATATTATAATTATTGGCAAATGTTTATTAAAAAATAATGGCGCGTGTATCTATGCGTACTACTTCTCTAGGATGTGACCATTGTTAATTGTTCAGACAGTAGCCCCGGTACTGTCAGGATTCCATCAGTCAGATGTGTAATATTATCACCAGACTAGATGACTTGTCATAACGCTCCACTTTAAAATGATGTTCAAAGGCTGCAGATAATCGGGAGAAGACCGTGATGCTAGACTTCGTACTTTTTGGTACCTATCGAAGGGATTGATGTCTGTTGTGTGATTTCAACAAGTCCCATTCAATGTTGTAGTCAGTGTCCACCATTCACATCTCCATGACAAAGCCACTTAGCATGAAACACACATCTATGACACCCTGGTGATTGCTACAGACTATTTAACGCCAGTAGACACTTTACTAATTGCAAGAGAGGTGAAATTTGCGCGTGTAAGAGAGACAGCCTACTTTTCCTTAATTATTCTTAGATAGCCAATTGTTGATATACATTAATTAATATGGCTCTATAAATACCTGTCTTAAAGTAATTTATACTTGATGTTAACTGAAAGTGTGGGTTTCATTAGATTTTGTACTTGTCAGTACAAAATGGGCACATTATGGTATTATTATTATTATTATTATACTATAATCACTATGTTCAATCATAGGACCAACAGACTGAGCTCTTTCTATTTTTCATCTTGTGTTAAGTTTTTCTTTCGTTTTTCTTGCATTCTGAATGGAGTACAGCGCTTCAAGCTTTTGAATTTTCAGCATCGGTGATGCTGTACTTACGGCAGTTGGTTGGTAGCCGGCTTATGACCTATCCTCTTTTCCGGGTCTACTATAGGCTAGGCAGGGTTTGCAAGTATGTCGACCATCTGAATGACTGGACAGTATTCCACTACTGAACTGTTGGTTCACGAACTAGTTAGCTGGATATGTACTTACATCAGTTGGTGAGTTGTAGGGCGAAACGAAATCATATCAAGATATAATAAGGCTTTACACATTAGAAACTGACTGAATTTGTGATAATTACAAGGAAATTAACGATGATGTAATAAAGTTGTTGTGATGATTGACCATTCTCATTATTGTGTTTTTTAAATGTTCAGTAATGTTTGTTTTTATTTAGTGTGTGTACATAACAGAAACAACTCAGCTGAATACGAATTTCTGACTTCTATCCTTTCCGTATTGTTGTTTGTTTTACTGATTTTTGTAGCTATTTAGGATTAAAATTACAAATCGGAATTATTATTATTCCCTTGAGTTCTTAGTGGAACATAGGGCTTCAGCAACACATTTCCACTTTGTTGTGTTTTAAGCCGTCCTCTTCAGACCAAACTCTTTCATCTCTTTCTCACACAATCTCCTCCATGTCACCCCCAACCTGAAACGAACCACTCGTCGCTTCTCATTTGGATTCCACTCAAGTAATGACCTGACGCGCGCAACGTCACTCGGCGGCCTCCTCAATGTATTCCCAATACATCACCACTATCTCCTACATATTTGTTGAGCGATCGGCTCTTGGTTGGCTTGTCCCACTGCAGAGTTTCTTGTTGCTAATTCTTTTTGGCCGTCCGGGTGGCCATTTGATCTTCACCATGGAGCCAGCGAAGTCAGCAATTGGTAAACGTCTGTAATGGTCTGTTGGAAATCCTTTTCGTGACTCAAGCTCAGTGAAGGTTTCTGACCCGTATAAAGGAATCGACTTGACATTGGTGTTGAAAATGCGAATTCTGTCCCTTACGTTCATTGTGGAAGATTTCCAGACTGGTTTCAGGTTGATGAAGGCATATCTTGCCTTTGTGATCTTGATTTTGACATCGTCGGTTCCGCCTATAGATGCATAAAAACTACAGGAGAAAACTGCCCTAACTATATTACCGAAAAGTTCAAAAGACACTATTTACCTCTTACTTGTGAAAGCTATTCAAAAAAGTATTGAATAACTCTTGTTTACATCACAAGTTATATGATCTTCACCCCTATTAAATTTAAGTTAATTCAAATTAAAAAAGAAATTTACAGAAATAAAAGTATCGCTTACTCCATAACCCGCAATTTCAGCATTAATATTATTATTGCCATTCCCGTTCCCATTGCCATTATTATTATAATCATGTTTATTATTTGATGAATATTTTTTCATTGGTGTATTATTATCTGCTGCATCACTTAAGCATGAACATTCACCTGGATCACCTTTTGGTCCACGAAATTGTTTTTGAATCTCCTACAAAATAGAGAACAGCAAAAAAAGAAAACGATAGAAAGAAGAATAGACATTAGGAATATAACAAAAATATAGTAGAAACTACCAAACAAAAGTTGAGTCTTTGTAAGTTAGTCATTATCTGAATTCCCGGACGAATGTCTGGTGAATTCATGTCTTACAGCTCCCTCGGAGTCCCATTTTAAAACTATTTATGTAGAAAGGTGAAACGGAACAGGGGATGTTCATTTTTCAATACTCTTTCACGAACGAGGCGTTAGCGATCAGTCAGCGGAACACCAAACAGGAAAAGGTTGTTTAGTTTCGTATTCTACTGCTATCTTCAACTTTTTTCTACTTATTTTTCTGTTATATTTAGTAAGTAACCAGTTATTATCATTCCTTAAATATCCCTTTGATACATTTTACCTTCCTCACACTTTTTACTGGGACACTATTAGTTTATTAGTGAATTAATAACAACTTGTTGAATTTCGAACTTACCTACATTTTGTTGATGATCATTACGTAATTGTTCCCCCATATTTATAAACTATTCACAAGTAACTTCAAGAATTATGTCTCACTCCCTATTGCTCAAAAGTAGACCATTATACCTTTATAGTGAGTATAAATAAGATTGTGCAGCCTTCGAAGATGACTTCATAAGATTTCTCTATGAATGGGTATTTTCGATCTTTGAAAAGTGACGGTTAGCAGTGGGATCCAGAATACACGTTTCTTCCCATTCAGGACTCACTAGCTGAATGTACCCACATCACAGTGAGTGGTGCTGGTCTCATTAAGAATCGAACACAGCACCCAATCGTTTTGTTCCCCAGATTGTGCAAATCCTTTAGGCTACTAAGTTAAGAGAGCCATCCCTTGCATAATGAGCATTAGCTATTATTTGTTAAATCCTTGAATTTCCTAGTGACTTTCAATGGAAAGAAATGGGTTATCTTTTTTGATGTAATGCCTCTTACTATGAACGCTTTGATAACGCTTTTGAGTTCATGTCAAAGTAACTTTTCAATATAACGAATTTACACATGAAACTTAAATTAAATTTGGTGAGTTTGAAACTCTGACTTGATTTAACAGATAAAAATTAAAGATCAAAGTGTGCACTTTTCAAACATACCTTGGAGCACTGGACAGCTGTTTCGTCCTAGTTTGGGACTCTTCACCAGTACGCACCCACCGGGATTCGAAGCCAGGACCTTCCGGTTACAAGGCGAGTTCGTATACCATTAAGCTACTGGGACCCAATCCAATGGTCCTTGAATTCTAACTTCTGCCAATTCACGACATAGCGCGACCGCTAGCCAATGTCTTCGGCGAGTATTTGTCCTCACACCCGACCAGCTGCACCCTACTGGTCACGACTTCCCAAACTAGGACGAAACAGCTGTCCAGTACTCCCAGGTTTTCCAATGGTTCTCTAACTACTGTCAGCTCATGATGAAATCCTGAAACCAATCAAATCCCTACAAACCAACACTTGAATATCTTGGAGCATTAGGAGGTGAGTGTCAGTCAGTCACCATTCATCTAATAAATTCTTGTTTACATGGTTTGTTCTTATAAATCGCCATCAAATTCAAAAAAAATACAGACTTGGATTGATAGACTGATATTTATGTGATGTGTGGTGATTGAAAGTAAAATGAAAATATTGTCTGTAGCAGGGTTTGAAAGACCAGCCTCTGAATTCCAACCCCAAGGTTATTTACATTGATTGGCCACTAGAGAACAACCAATGACATTCCTCTAGTCTTTGATGTAGGTGTAGATTGAATTCTAGTCTGTCATGTCCTTAGTGTAGTCGTCATCAAGCCAGGTGGCTTGCCATCACGACTCATCCTGAAGGGATATTCGATAAATGATATTGGTTATACCCTAGCGGTCAATCAGTGTATCCGTTACAGCCCTACAGGAGGTCAACTGTGGGCCCAAATAGCTCAGTTTTACTGTCTCTGGCTGCTGCACTGGATGACACGGGTTCAAATTACACAGGTGACGTGAGTTCCTCTCATGTTTGCAGATACGCCTTGCTGACGTGTGTCTAGGCTCAAGGCTTCCTACCAACTGCTTCCAATCGCCCAAGTTTATTTATTTGAAATAATTAACAAAATAATAATACACACTGGAAACAATATGTAATTTATTACTTACTGGTTGTAATATAAAATCTTGGATGGCTTGTTTCACCACAGAAAGTGATTTATCGTCAGTAAGATCAACTACACCTGGATCACCTTTATCACCCTATAAGTTAAAATATGAAAAAAATGATAAAAATGATGATGCATTGTAAAAAAGGAAAAATAATTCATTTATTCTCTTCTGTTTCAGGTGTTGTTGTATTAGCTGAAATAGACGACTTAATGACTTCATCATTTCGATGTTACCCCTGAAAATGTTGTCTAGAAAGATAATAGAAGGTTAAAAGTTAAACTACCCAGTCAAGAGAATACAACACTATGAGAAACATCAGTTATTATTTCTTTCTTGTAATAGACGTCATTTCATACATAACTGGTTCGAATGGCTTGAAAGAAGCTGCAATACATTTTTAGGTATTAACCTTGCAAGTGTTATTCAGTGAACAATAACAAATTATGTGAAAAATTAAGAATTATTTTGAACAATCACTCATTGTAATTATCTGGTTGTGAAGGTTATACTAACTAAAATGTCTCTTTTTTAGCAGTTTATTAAATAAACACTAGTCTTTGATTGTTTTGTAGAAGTGAAAAGTTTGTAGAGAACAGATTGATTTTAAGAAGGCAAATCATCGACAGTCAAGGCAAGGTTATTCTTTAGTTTAAGTTTGGGCCTTAAACAGTAAATTTAGCTATGAGATTGAATTGTCGTATATCAGAGATTGTTAAAAGTTAGAGAACATCAGGCGATAGTTTCATACTAACTTGTGTAAATACAACATACACGTTAGATACACTAGTGTTGCTGCGGTTGACCTCGGATAAAAATGTTGTTTGATAGCATACTGAAACGGTAGAAGACGAAAGACTTAGTACAAAGAATGTTTATTTGGGAATTGATATCCTTATATATTGAAATTATGCATAGTCTCTCTTAAATGCTCCATTTGCACAAATCTTCCGTGTTGTCCTACTTCTAGCCTTCCTTCATATTGTCTTTCTTTGTGTTCCTTTCACGTTTCCCATGTATCATTTACCTTCTCTGACATCAAATCTATCTCCCTGTCATTTGTTTTTTTATGTTGGTGAATGTCTCATTATATACTACTGATAAATCTTATCAGTAGCGCTCGCCACAAGATTATTTTCAGTACTTTTGTAACTGATGTTTGTTTTATGCAGAAAACCAGGTTGAAATGAAACACACAAGACAGGCAGTTCAGTGCTCATTAATGAGTTCTTATATTATTATCTATTATCCGTGTATATGAACGAAAACAGGTTCATTTATAAATTGTTGAGGCAACTAATACTCAACGTGAGTTTAAAAGTTTCATTTTATTCGACTACTATAGTGAGAAGGGTCATTCTAAAACTATGTGAAACATCAGAATCGCATTATATGAGTTGCTGTGTGATTACAGACTTTATTAATAGTTTTCTAGTTTAAGTGACCTTGTCATACTGTTATGACGCAGATAATACTATTCTAGATCCTGATTTATCCTACTGTTACTTCAAAGCTCGACTATATACGACCTATCACTTAAGTGTTATTTCCACAGTGAGAAAATACCAAAGTCTAAGTGAGGAGGTAATGATCTGCATCTTCAGTGAAAAAGCAATACAACTAGATATTACAGTTAATTATGTAATTATTTCTCATGACCAACCAATCACTCGTTAGAGGGATAAAAAGCTATTGAAACCGGTTAGGGCAGACCAATAAAGAGCCAATGACGTGATCTTTAATCCACAATAGGGTCAAATGTTTGATTTATATAGATCACGCTGAAAACACTGGCTCATAATATGTTTCCTCCTGTCCTAACAATTTGTTTTATCTCCTTGTTAAACGAGCTAATTTTAGAACACTGTTTTATTACAAGTATCATTCGGGGTTGGCATTGACTAATTAGGACATCAGTGCAGCATCTGTACTTTAAACACCATACTAGAGAATAAATCTATTAAAATTCTAGCCATTGATATAAATGGCAATTTTCATTTTACTTATACAATGGTCTGAATGGTATTCAAAGCATACCCTCAAAATACACACACTAGTCTGAATAAACACCACTAGGATACAAGAAATCACAAAGACTTTCTGATACGGTAGGCCTCAAATACTAGTAGGAAATTAATGGAGACACAATTTTATATGTTTAATTTTGAAGCCTGTCATCTAGAAATGATAATCAATCAAAATTTACTGTCACAGACTGGCAAAACATGGTCATAGAAACTAGTGATTTAATCATTCTTATTATTATAATAATATTATTTCTGTTTCGTTTAATTCCTAGAGAAACATAAGGCTTCAGCTGCACGCCTTCATTGCTTTTGGTTCTCCACCAACGTTTTCACCTGGCTCCAAGTCTGCCTACATGCTTTCATCTCCTCTTCATATGACCTCCTCCATGTCACCCTCGCACTGATGACCAACTCGTCACTTCCCATTTGGGTCCCGTTCGAGCGATGAATTGGCGTGCGATGTCACTCACTCGATGGTTTTCTCAGAGTATGGAGAATCCAGTTTCATTTCATCCTGGATATTTCTTGCACAATTGGTCCCTGCCGGGTTGGTTCGTTCGCTCCCAGAGATTCATCACTATTGCTGTTCTTTTCTGGCCGGCCATCTGATCTTGAGTATTGAGCGAAGACAGCTGTTGATGAAGGTCTGTAGTTTGTTCGAAGTGCCCCTCGTGACGTGGCGCCAAGTCTGTGAACTGTACAGTAAGTAGCAATGACTTCACATTGGAGTTGAAAATCCGGATCTTATTTTTGATGCTGAGGAGTGCTGTTGATCTCCACACAGAGTTGAGAGTGATGGAATCTCGCCTTGCTTTCCGGATCCGCGCTTTGATATCCTCATTAGTTACGTCCGCCCGTGATAGAAATGATGCTTCCCAGGCAGGTAAAGGAGTTTCATAGAAATTTTCATAGAATTATGAAAATATTACACATAATTTATGAAGTTACTTTTTCTCCTGGGGTCCTTGTGGTCCAGGTAATGCAGCTTCTTTACACTGTTCAATTGTACAAACGCCAGGAGGGCCAGTCTCACCTTTTGGTCCCTATAAATTAAGTACGAAAAAAAAGAAATTTACAAATGATATTTAAAAAAAGTCATTAGATTTCTATTTACACACCAGTGTTAACTGATGATCTAAAGCAAACAGAAATTCTTAAAAGTGTTGATTTTCAGGGCTTCGATTGGCTTCAGGATTTCATCATGAACTAACATTGGTTAAAGGACCGTTGGAAGACCTGAAAGTACTAGACAGCTGTTTTGTCAGCCCAGTTTAAGACTCTTCAGAAGCACCCACCCACTGAGGTACGAACCCAGGACTTTCTGGTTACAAGGGGAGCTCGTAGACCATTAAAACACTGGGACTCGATCCAGTGGTCCTTGAATTCCAACTTCTACCAATTCGTGATTTGGTGTGATCACCAGAGAATGTCGTCGGCGAGTATTTGTCCTCAAAGTCAGTCTGCTGTATCCCACTGGTCTAGGCTTTAGCTACTGACCCACTAGGTCTAAACTTAAGGGACATGGCAAAAAGATATCTGAACAGCGCAGTCTCAATCAGATCTCAGAGATGTTGACAATCTTAAATAATATACATATCAGGGGTAAGCCCTGGACGTAAATTTATCAGTCAAACTTACCCAGTTTCTTAAAAGTATAGGAAAAAAGGCAAATTAACAGAGTGATATATGAAAAAATGTATAAATGGGGAAAAACAACTAATAAAAGTGCTTAGCAAGAAGTACTGAAAATTTCATTGACACAGAAAGAATTCAAGAGAGTCATGGTAATTAATTTGTAATCGATGTCACTAAACGATTTTTAGATGTTATGTATAGTACCCAGGTAGGTAATCTATGCTTCTTCTCAGAATTCCGACCAAAAGCGTAAGACTTCATTACCTGTTTCTATCTTATTTTATATAATAAACTCCATTCACGGAAATGGTGATTTGATAATGTCTCAACCACCTTAGCTGATGCAATTTTATTGACCAGTACGATTGCACCACAAAAGTTGTCACCTTTAATCTTAACATTACCGATTACAATAGTCATTCGCGCATAGTCTATTAGATAGGACTATACCAGGTGATGAGATATAAATTGAGTCTCCGTAATTGGAAATAAATCTTATCTATTGATGTAACATAAAAATTTTGAATAGTTTTTTTCTAATTACTTGCAAAGCAGAAGGCGCCTCAGATGCGCAAGTTGCAGGGCAGGTACCCGGAGGTCCTTGGGGTCCCTGTATTAAGGTAAAAACAAAAAAAGGAAAACTACAATAGAACATATTTGCATATATTTACAATTGTTTAAAATGTTAGGAAAAAAACCTTCAACTTGTCACCTAACATGTTCACATTCAAAGTTTATTTAAATCAACAAAGTTCTGAGTGAAATATTAGGCTTCAGTAGCTGTGAAAGTGGTTCTACGGAGTGGGATTGCTAACCTTATACCTAGGCCTCCCTCTCTCCCACCGGTATTATCGGCTAGTAAACTAGGTGAGGTTTAGAAGCACATTGGCCGAGGATCAAACTCTGACCACGTGGGTGGATGGTAGGCATTCTACTATTTCACCACCGATAGCTTACTGATATTTACGTCAATCTTGACAGACTTTTTACCACTAGACGCATGCTATAGAGTTCATTATTCTCTACGTTCATGACAATTAATTAGTTATATGAAGTATGCTTTTTTTCCATATGACCAACTGTCATTTTGCTGTTTTACTTTGCTGGAAGTTTATTTCAGTAATTATTACTCCGGAAAACAATTAACCAAAACAATTTCATCATTCAGTTTAACTGACCAGTACTCAATATTTTTTATATTTTGGATTCCAATGTATGATGCAACAGCTTATTGATTCTGAGTAGAATACTGGCCAACAACTTGTGTGGTTGAGAGTTCGATTCCGGCCGACGCAATGTGAAATCGATTAGTCAGTAGTAAGACCGGTAAAAAAAGGAAGGTTAAGTGTGAGGCTGGCAACTCCCCTTCGCAAAAGAAACACCACAGCTATTGAAATTGTCAAGCTCAGTCTTGAGGCCCAATGTTTCATTCGGAAAGCAAAGGAATGAATATATACATATACAGAAAATGATGGTGAATACTGAAATGATATTGTTTTGAATTAACAAGATCAAAGATTGCCAGTAAACATAACATGGGTAATAATTTAAAGATAATTTCTTAGAGAAATAATTCCTTTGTTCTTTTCCTGTCATCAGGTTTCTTTCTGTAACGTTGAAATTTAACAGAAAAGCATTTAAATTACAATAAAGGTTTTTATATTTCCCAATGAATGAAAGACAAAACGATATTGTTTTTACTGATGTTTCGCTATTTAATGCTAATAGCTCTCTCAAAGTATTATTAAACCAGAATTTACAAAATCTCAGCATATTTATTAAAACAGAGAGTTAGGAGGTGAGAAAATAGACTTAGGTCAAGTTAAAAGGACATATTGAAAGTCAAAATAACAATGAAGATCACTAAACCAAAAACCAAAGGTAATTGTACATCTACTATGGTATCAAAACAAAGTTTACTAAATTGATCATCGTTCGTCAGTATGGGCTCATTTTTCGTTGTCGAATTGGTCAATTGGTAAAGATAACAAAACCAAGTGTAGATTGTTGGATTTGATCAGTGTGTACAATTATAAAAGCAGTGTGTGTTTACATAGTGAAATTGCTTATCACATTCGTGTTGATTTTGTCACTTCATGGGGGAGGAGAGGGAGGTGCTGTAACTAGGTCAAATTCTGTTTTAGTCCATCATTCCTATTCAGACAATTTGGATTCCACTTGATATGAACTGCTTCTGATATTAGACGTTCTTTGTGATTTCTGAAGTTTTTCTGGATTATTTCAATATTGTTAAAATCAATTTTGTGGCCTGATTCTATAGCGTGTAGACCGATGGCTGATGATTCTCAAGCTTTTCTAGTTCAACTGGATTTCTCGGTGGTCGAACAGATGCTCTACGGTGTTCATTTATTCTGATTTCTTGAGATGTTTGTCCGATGTATATCGCATCACATTCCAAGCATTTTATTTTATAGACACAATTAGATGGAGAATCTTTAGGGATTTTGTCTTTTATATGGACAAGGTTGTTTCTCAGTGTGTCTGATGCTTTGAAGAAAACTCTGATGTCGAGCTTATTGAATACTCTTGTGATATCGTCTGACGTCTCTGCTCTGTATGGAATGACAACTGTTGAGATCCATGTTTTCGGAATGCGTTTTCGGCCATACTTAATGTCAGTGTTGATTTTGTTGATGAAGTTCCTTGGGTAGTTGTTTTGCTTGAGAGTTTGAGTAATGAATGATATTTCTTCTTTTTCTTGCTTATCTGTTATCAGAGAGTGTGCTCGTCTAAGAAGACTTGAAACAACTGATACCTTTGCGCTGATGGGGTTTGATAATCCGAAGTCTAAATAATTATTGGAGTGGGTTTTCTTCCTGAATATAGACATAATAAAATGTCCGTTTTTCCTCCTATTAACATTTAAGCTTATTCTTTCTTGTTCTGATGAATTCTTGCGATTGTAGTTTATTAACCCTCTATATAAAATAACCCACTATCAGATTTCACCTGTACTACAATCAACTGTAGAAGGGATGGCTGAGCATACAAATAATCGCCAAAACAAATATACCTCTCTTAGATTTCCTTCTGCTTGATAAAACGGAACAAAGGTGGTCAATTACGATTTTGAGCTTTCCCAGGTAGTAACGTGGTCTTATATGATTATTTATTCAGTGTTTAAAGAAATTTAGTTAAGTTTAGATATTTCAAAGGTGTTTTATCAATTTTTTGTATACAACTGGAATGAATATCTGTTGGGCCGTTTGACTAACTAACTATCAGCGAAAACACCTTATGATTAATTTTATCCCTCCCTCCCCCCGTAGGGATATTATGTTGTGCTTCAAAATGACATAATAACTTCAAAGATAATTACTCACTCAGGCAGCTGACTTTTAAGTATGAAAATATAAAAACTGTCTTTGAAAAGAATTAATAATAACAAATCCTTTGATGACATGAGCAGCTGAAATCAAAGTCAGTGTATCTCTCTCATTAGTTTTATTTAGTACTTCAGAGTCCATCTGGACATCTTTATCATCATGGAAATCCTTTGATTGCATTAAGTGTTTCTTCTCTTTCTACTGAACGATCATGATTCTATTGCAATAATGAATAATTCTATCATAGAATCAGTTTGTTTGATAAAAACCCACACAGTAGTACATTATTTATTTAATGATGACGTTTGATGTAAAATTTATTGCTAATAATCATATCTTCATGAGCCATTGAATCGAGTCCCAGTGGCTGAATGGTATACGAGCTCGCCTTGTAAACGGAAGGTCCTGGGTTCGAACCATGGTGGTGGGTTTTCCAGTACTCCCTGGTTTTTAATGGTTCTCTAACTGATATCAGCCCGTGATCAATTCGTAAAAATAATCATACCAGCGTATTCACACAACTTGGTAACTTGCTTGACATATTCTGTCTTTCGTGTTTTCTCCCCAGAATTTTCATTCATTGAATCACCACCAGACACTTGGAGTCGTAATGATGCAACATTAGTCCTGCATATACGAAAAATTGTGAATTGTGCTCAAAACGTCATTTTCTTCATTCCTTTGCATCTCAAGTGAAACATAAGACATCACGTTTCAGCTTTTAAGTTCCGGTAGCTGTGATGTTTCCTTTTAGGGGGCGAGGTTGTCAGCCTTATACAAAACCCTTTCTCTATCCTGGACTTACTACCGGCAAGTTAAGGTTTCGGAGCGCATCAGTTGGCAGTTGAGGCCGGATCATATGTGCGGTTGTCAAGCATGCTACCGCCGAACCAACGGCGTACTCGAAGCATCATTATTTTAGAAAAATAGTCTATCACTGTGTGTTTTTTATAATGGAATTAAACTCTCCACCACAGTGCCAAAATTCTATTTCTATACCAGTAGTGTGTTACACTATTTTGAAGATTTTACAGGATTGAAATTACACAACGGAAAGCTGTGGTCGTTGAAAAATGCGCCAACAGATTTCAAGCCTCTTTTCATGTTCAAGTTCAACAAAACTATTAGAGCATTCATAACTTGGACTGTAAAATATATTCAGAAGTATTTACTAGCATTTGCTTTCAGTCATAATTTATAGCCATTTTATTGAGTAGTAATATATCTATTCAATTCGAATTATTGGTCATTAATTTGATGATTTCCCATGAATAGGTTTGATCCCGAGTTGACATCAATTAGAGAGCCACTGGAAAACCTGGAAGTACTGGACAGTTGTTTCGTCCTAGTTTGGGACTCTTCATCAGTACGCACCCACTGAGGTTCAAACCCTTGACTTTCTGGTTACAAGCCGAGCTCGTAGACCATTCAGCCACTGGGACCCGACCCAATGGCTCATGAATTCCAACTTCTGCCAATCCACGATACGTATAGAGCAACCAACAGTCGATGTCATAGGCAGGTAGATTATACCTTTTCTGACTTGGTCGACCCCGCTGGTTGTGACTTCTGAAAACTATATGAGATCGCCGCCTTGTAACCGGAAGGTCCTGAATTCGGACTTCAGTGCGTGTATACTGGTAAAGAGTTTCAAGCTAGGACGAAACAACTGTCCATCACTTCCAGGTTTCCGAATGGTTGTATAACTGACGCCAATTTTGTAATGAAATTCTGAAACCTGTAATCAATCCCTGAGCCTCATATTAATTTGTTTGTTCTCTAATGTTGTAATTGACAACTGATATACCGAAGCTTTGATGAAATTTGTATTACCTACAGCATGTTTTGATTACCTTGACAGTTAGCTAAATCCTTGACATTTTCAGTAGGTTTTTTGTGTATGAAATTAATTTTCATTATTGCTTCAATAAAGTTATTAAAGAATCTAAAGTAATTTTCTTCAGTGTTGTTTACTCTTATTTATTTACCATATTTTTGTTTTTGTTCTTTTGTTTTTTTTTCACCATTAATTCAAATGGTACCGTTACACTTTTCGTGTATTGTGAAATTGTACATTTCTAAGTTTCAGCCATTAATTTTCTTACATATGTGATTGAAATATTTAAATGTCAATGTCCAAAAACTATACAGTATTATCATTATTATTGCTGTGCAGGATTTTGTTGAATTACATCCATTCGCACATCAAATTCTGTGCGATGGTATAGAAACGAACAGGGACTTTACGGCAGCTCCGCGTTCCATTCCTGGCTGACAATAATAATAAGGCTTTAATTCAGACAATATGTGAATATATGGTACAAAACGTTTCAGCGTAATTATTTCCAAAATACTTTTTTCTTCCTACAGGATTTACATGTAAAGTAATAATCTAAAGGATATCTTTATTTCGTTGAAGAATTACACAGCGTTTACTTGGAAGCAAATTAAATCAGTGCACAAGCTCATGTGTAGGTCACTTAAAGTAACTGGACGATTAAAACAATGACAAATCCAGATGAATTTTCAAGTATTGGTTTTGGAGGGATTTTGTTTGATTGGATGGAGGATTTCGTCATGAGGTGACATCAGTTAGAGAACCACTGGGAAACCAGCTGGGAGTACTGGAAAGCTGTTTCGTTCTAGTTTGGGACTCTTCATCAGTACGCATCCACTGCCAGGATTCGAACCCAAGGCCTTCTAGTCACAAGGCGAGTTCGTAGACCACTGAGCCACTGGGACCCGATCCAATGGCCCATGAATTCTAAATTCTGCCAATTCATGATATTGCGTAACCACTTCTCAATGTCTTCTTTGATGAGAAACTGACCTCATCTTCGACCTGCTGTACTCTACTGGTCACAGCCTCCCTCTAGAACCCTAGGTTAACTACCTGAATAGGACCAGTAGCTAGTAAGCATCAGATTAATAATCAGTAGGATACAGCAGGTTGAAGATAAGGCAGTAACTCATCGAAGAAGACATTGCGAAATGGTCACGCTATGTCGTGAATTGACAGAGGTTAGAATTCATGAGTCATTGGATTTGGCCGCAGTGGCTAAATGGTCTACGGGCTCGCCTTGTAACCAGAAGGTCCTGGGTTCGAACCCTGGCAGTGGGTTGGTGCTTCTGAAGAGTTCCAAACTCGGACGAAACAGCTGTCCAGTACTCCCTGGTTTTCCAGTGATCCTCTAATTGATGTCAGCTCATGATGAAATCCTCCATCTAATCAAATCCAGACTAAATTTAGCGATTTCAGTAGCCCAGTGATTCAAGTATTCCTAAACCTCGGTTAGACAGGTAGTAAGTCTGGTAAAGGGGGGTGGTTGGTCAAGAGGTTAGCAACCCTGCGACAATTAGAACTTGTAACTCTAAACTTGAAGCCCTATGTTCCACTTGGAACACAAAGGAGTGAAAAAAACACATTGGGAAATTAAAACTCTAAGAAGAACTAAAAAAGCTACAAACAGCTGCGAATAAATCACACCTTATGTATAGATGAATAATATCATTTACAAATTCTGAAATCATATGTAGGGTTTAGTGATTCTTTAATATTCATTATATTTTATTCCAATAAAAGCATTAGGTCTGCAGTCATTGAGCGATGATAAAGTATGCTCCCATAATAAACCATTTTGAATAAGCTCCACCAGGATACACATAGAAACGAAGCATTTCTGATGCAAGGGGCCACACATAATGGCATAAAATCATGAAAACAAAATTTCATGTGTTTACCTCTTAAGTCTGCTGCCTAGATATAACTATCAAGTGGCATTTACTTTCACAGACTAGTAAGACTAACTGATTCATACTGGTGTATATAGCGGCATGTTTAATCATTAATCCTCTCAACAGTCTTGCTCTTTCCGGTGCAGTTTAAGTTTGAATGTTTATTTGCTTTTTCACTGGAAATGTTTAAAATTCACTTGTCGGTAAACACACATACTTCATTCTTTAAAAGTGATTTTTAGAAAACGGTTCTGTTGATTTAGTTATCACAAGTTTTTATTGCTATTCACAAATAAGTAGAGGAAAGCTGGGGTATCATTGGATCATACTCCAAAATGGCACAAGGTTAAAGAAGAGATCCGTTGGATTCTAGTGTGTCGATGTACAGATGAAGTTCTCTACATGCCGAGGATTATGTGTGTACTTCGTCCGAAAATCCAAAACTGGAAAAAATTGTTATTCATTGCCCCCCGTTTAGAATAATTTTCGTTTCAATAGCGGTTAGTTAAGAGGATTATTTCGATACATACTACAATTAATACTACTACAACACTTATTCTCTTATTTTCACTTTTCTTGTCAGATTTCAGTCGAAGAAAGACCTTCTGAACAGACTGTTGAGAAAGAGGATGAAGCGGTATATGGATCGGTAGATCAAATCTTTTTGAGTCTATTTGCTTTCCAGTGTTTAGCTGTAATGTAAAAAGGTGTTTATTTGCTTATGTAAGAGAATTCACACTTAGAGAGTTGCTAATTTCTAAAATCGTAACAATTTAATAATTCTAAAAGTTGGATTTTAATTCAACTTGGCATGTAGGGATTTCTGATGCAACCTGGTTGCTGAAAGTGAAACAAATTGTAAAGCAGATGAACATTAAAAACGTCCTGCTATATCTCTACAAGCAGGTTCTTTACAAACAGATTACACATGTATATATATATATACTACTAACAAAGGTATTTAGATAAAGGACTTAGGTTTCAGATAAAAAGTAGATTTCCACCAATTAATTACATATCTTAAATAGTTATTTTGATAACTAGTATGCTATGCAATATTCATAAGAATTATTCAACATACCATAGGTCCTACATCACCACGATCTCCCTAAAAATGAATAAATTAGGAAAAAAACCTTTTAAGAAGGAGGTCAAAATAATTAAACAGTTAAGGTTACTCTAAAAACAATAAACGGTTAGACGTCATTTAGTTGAAGTGAATAGTCAGCAAATTCCGGAACTAAATTTTGTGCTAACTGAAAATAATCACCACACAACATATTCAACTTTGATGAGAATGTATTGTGGATAGTTTAGTATTAGGGTTTATGTCTTCAGCAATGAGTAACACAGGTATTATGACTTCTCTCAAAGTTTTAGACACTTTATGCTTATGAGCACAAACATGTGCGAAACTCAGTTCAATGGATTGACTCCTCCATTTATTATTGATTTACACTGTCATTTGGTTTACTGACTAATGTTTACGCCTAAAGAACTAAATTCGTTAGCTTGATAAGAATAGTTAGCAAACGAAAAGTAATGTAGTAATTTGGCGTAATGCAGATTAACAAGTAGCGGCAAAAAATGAAACCAACACTTTAAGTCAATGGCTGCAGGCGTAAAAGTGTTTATTCCCTGAATCTGCACTTACCTTACGTTGTGAGCATGAAATAAACTCATTGGACAGTCTGTTTAACCTTGGGGAGTTACCAACCAATGGGAACTACTTATTCTCCTCTCTGATGTATTCCATCCATATTGTGACTAAGAATGTAAGGGTATGTTTTTCCATAATAAAGGACCGTTACTAATTCTGTTATCTTCTCTCGTTATGGTAGGATAAGGGATATAGGTGCTAAACATAGGATATATATTTATGTAAAATGGTTAAGAGTAGTGCTGATTAACGTACATCACCTTTGTATTTGAATAATGTCGGAAGACTACGTGTATGGAAAGCTAGCTGAAAGATGTAGATTATACGCAGTTTTTATTTATTTGTCAGAAATTGGTGTTTGATTATCTGAGCAGGTCAGAATCTGCGTTATTTCCTTTCTCCCGTTTATCTTTACAATACGCCTCAGACACTTAGCATAAGGTTTTTCGAATCATTGAAAAAGAAAACATAGTTCCGAAGATTCACAGACAAGATTACTTGAGTTCCCTGTTTTTGTCAAATTTTGCTGCTGATGGGTAAACAAGAACACTAAGACTTAGATTCATAGACCCCTGGCACTTTTTTTTTTAACTAGAAAGATGGAAAATAACATAGGAGGAAAATGCACTAAGTCTGTATTATAAGGTATCCTACATTTCAGGTTCACGTAGGTGATTAGTGTATACTTGTTAGAGTGAATTACTTAATCACTACATATCATCTCCGAAACAGTATAACTAATTAGTCATACAGCTTGAAATGTAACATCAATACAGTCATCCAAAATATATTTGAATAGTTCAGTAACATCCTCAAGCAGCACCTGATTTAAGTTTTCACGTAGGAAGCCCGGTTTGATAGCCAGAGGATAATTTATTTTACTGGAGGATGTTTTTGCTTGAAATGTCTATGTCCTATTAATTTGCTTTTTTCTTATTGGCTTATTCTTTATGAGTCAGTCGAAAGATGAAAAATCACGTGATTGTAAGATGACCTTCGGCTGTATGTTTGACATGGTACTACTGTTCAGTCTTAGGTGAGTGACATTTAAGTCATGTAGACATTGGTTATATGCGTTAAATGTAGAACACTAGATGTCACAAGTTCTGAAGGATACTGTGAACGATTCGTATTTATTACAATTTATGTGTCTGTATCAATATCTAGAGATAACATGTGAGACGCCTGTTGTCGTATACTGGACAAAATCAGACACAGTCGATTGGAAATAACTGATGCGATTCCCACTTGTCTGAATGCTAACCTGTGCAAATCTTTAAGTAAGTTTATTGATTGGGTGGTTATTTTGTGAAATATAAAAGGGACTACACTCACCTTTTCTCCTTTCAATCTCAGAAGACCCTGGAAAGAGAAAAAGCAAACATTATAATTTACTAATCTATGCTGTTTATGTTAAAAGAATGTTATAATTTCATACTAATTAAAGTATTATAAAGTATGTTATTAGAGATTTAATTATCCAAGGTATTTATTTCACTTACTTGTATCTATGGCAAGACATTAAAATAGACCCTGTCCCTAAGCCTGGAAATAGCAAGAACGTAAAGTTCAGACCCATTGCCATCACTTCCCGTTTCTAAAGCTTATGGAAAAACTAGTACTTCTTAAATTCGAACACTCCTTTAAAAGCTTTGAAGACCCCAAACAATTTGCCTATAGACAGGATAGGAGCACTTCAGACGCTGCAGCCATCAAGCGCAACAGTATTGTCTCATCATTAGATAAAGGTGCCAAATACGTCCGCTGCACGTTTCTCGACTTCACTTCTGCTTTCGACTCTGTACCTAGATGTCTCTTGCTAAATAAGCTCTTTATGACACAAACTGAGTATACAAAGGTAAATCCTCGTCTGCTGTGCTCACTGAAGCTGGTGTCCCCCAAGGTGCTGTACTCTCCCCACTTCTCTTTTCTTTCTTTCTACATGACTTACCATCTTCAAATATGCTGACGACCTGACTGTATCTTTGCCTGTCAAATGTCAAAGTGACTGCTCTAAACTAAACGCTTTTTATCAGAAGTCGGCCAATGTTCCAAGGAAATCGGTCTCACCTTAAACTCTTCCAAATGCCAAACAGTCAGTTTCACCTTTAGGCATAAATATGACCTAAACAAACTGGTTAGCACTCACGAGGTGTGCAACATAGATGGCACTGAAATAGAAACCAAGTCAGAAATTAAATACCTTGGCGTCATTCTATCTTCTGATCTTTCCTGATCGTCTCATATCTTGATGATTTCTAAGGAAATATTCCGTCTTACCTTCTACATCAATAAGTTAAGACATTCTGGTATAACCCAACCCTTACTTCTACAATTCGTTAACTCCCGTATTCTGCCTATTATTCTCTATTGTCGCCACTTAGTCTTTCCTGGACTATTGAAGAAAGACTATACCTTATTACGCAGGATGTTAAAGGTTGTCAGCAGGGTAAGCAATATGCCACTTAACCAGCTTGTTAATATTCTGGTTGACAGGCACTTGGACTCATGGGCTAAATCCATTTTATCTAACTCACAACACCCTCTTCATTCACAACTCTCCCCTTGTATCTCATCAGGTAAGCAGACCAGAAGCCTATACAGAAAACTATATGCTCGCACTAGTAAGTACAAATACTCAACCATACCCTACTTAGCTCGTTTTCTGTGCGATAAAGAAAGCATTAGGCATGAAACCTTTAACTTATTAAATAGTCAGTAGAACAAATGGATCTCATCTTTCCAATTCATATCTTTTATACGTACAACGTTTTCTTTCTTTCTTTTCCTTTTTTCTCTCTCTTTTTCTTTCTCTGTTACGTGCTCCTTTGTTTCTTTCTTCTGCTTACGCCAGTGAATATGCTAGCACCTACTTTTCTAACACCTTCAAACACTGTTCAATTTTTGCCTCGGCTACCGACATATCAATATGTTGTCATAGTGAACTAAGATTTCCTTAATCTATGTAGAATTTTATTTATTGATAATGTACTAACTGAATGCAATACTGTAGTAAAATGCTGAGAATTCCATCCTGTATTATTAAAGTTGTAGTTGTTCGTACTTGAAGCTTGGTGAAAGCCTTTTAAATTAGTGAATTGCCACTTAAGAACAGTTTTCAAAGGAACCTTGTACGTTCAAGGCTAAAGAACTTTGCTCATTGAACTCTAAACGACTAGTTGGATGGTAGCCTACCCATCATAAGGATCAACAGTCTTGACGTGTCTTCCACCTAAATTAGTGTTTACTCATTATTGAAGAGATCAATAGAAGGATGGAACATCTGTCCAGCAGTATTAAATGGTTGTCTTCTTCGTGTTGGTTCGTAATGAAGACTGCCCGGAAGTTAATCAACTTCTCACAAACCAATCGAAAGATTATACAGTTAGAATATTAGCTATGAATGAAGTCCAGGTACTGAGCATGCAGTTTCACATGAATTTATTCTCTCAGCTACGTACAGTTACCATGTTTATAATAGAATATAAGGTCATTGCCGTAAATAAATGTACAGAAACAGGTTAGACTTTTCCACTGGTGACAAGGTGAGAGATTGGGATAGCCTACATTGTTCATACAAAAACGTTTAACGAATATTTTACTGGTATTATTCTATCTAGTGGACATTTATGATTGACTAGTGAAAGTCCTTTTTTCCAAATTGTTGATGGTGCCGTTATTCATTTATGTTTGCCCTTTTTGCTAACTACTAACACTTTTTCATAAAATATGGGAAAGCTAAAATTAGAATACTAATGTAGTACAGTTTTGTTTATAAATTTCTGTAAGTGATATACCAAAACTGAGGTTAATCTTTTTCATTTTCTTAGATAATACTTTAATTAAGGTGACTCTAAACCATAGCAGCCCAAAACGAAACTACTTATTGAACGAATTGATGATCTTGATTGATTTAACCTGACTATGAGGATTCATGTAAGGAACTAGGAGGTTTTTTTGGAACATATACAAGAATTTTATCCTATGTAAACATTTTTTAAACATTGAATTACCTGTATATAGACGTTTATTTCAAACTGCGCGCTTCTATTTCTCACGAATCTGATTGGTTGCTAGAGGTAGTTTCGTTTTGGGCTGCTATAGTTTAGAGTCACCTTTATTAGTAACTATCCTATTTGAAATATTTTTGGCTGGGAGAATTGATTTGTGTTCTTCTAAAATCCTTTAATGTCACACAGTCTCCCTCAAAGTGTTAAAACTACCAGCTAGTTCCTTGGGAATGATCAGAGAGTAGCAGTAAAAGTTGGACTCAACTATAAAGCGATTTACTACGGCGTATACTGTTGGTATTAATATGAATCAAATTAATATTTGACATAGATTTAGTTAAAGAGGTGGAGGCTTTCTCTACAAATTGACATTAAGTTACAATTCAAAGCTGCTGAGTACCAAACATTTATATCATTTTAAGTTTGAAAACTTCTTATTATATACCCTGAAATATTTACAGCCTTTTGAGTAATGGATGCCATCTGGCTAGTTACTTGTATGTTTGGATAAAAGTAATTAGGTTGAAATAGTTCCTTTATATATTAAAATAAATTAAACACTATTCAACAATCATTTGCATTTATATATATATTTGACAAAAAATCAAACTTGTTGAGTGAGGTCTCTGTGATACTACTTGGTTGTCTAAATTTCGGTAATAACAGTGAGATTTATACCCGTAACTCAATGGTGGGTAGTCGAGTGCCTAAATCAATGATCTATAGTTCTACGTCATCTTGGAATACAATTCATTTACGCATTAGTATCAAGTTAGTCAACGTCAAAGGATATCTTTTAATCGTTAGGCTATACGTGAAATATTATTCAACGTCACGCTCCAGGTCCTCGAGTGGGACCGGAATGGTAAAAGACAAGTGAGGCGCTTGACAGTGACATGGAGAAGATCGTACGTGGAGGAGTAAGGAGACCTTGGTTATTTGTGGGGCCAGCAAAAGAGGACCTTAGAAGATAGGACAAAGTGAAGTTGTGCTGTGGAAGCCCTATGTTTCACTTGGAAACAAAGAAAACGATAATAATGATATCATAAAATTTAGGTTCGCAAAATGAAAGAAAAATGAAACCACATTTCTTGTAAATTACCCGTCGAAATAAATCTTCGATACATGCACATGAACTAGCATTGACTACCTGAAAGAGGTAAAAAGAGAAAAAAAGAAAAATATATGGTTAGGAACTTATTTTTAATTGTTAAGCTGCAGAGATTTGACTGATTTCACGGTAGATTTAATCAAGTACCGACATAAGTTAGAGAACTATTGAAGACTATAGAGTATACTGAGCAATTATTTCGTCTTAGTTTTGGCTTCTTCAACAGTGTGCCCACGTGACTTTGTCAGGGATCGACTCAAGATCCTTAGATCACGAGTACACCACGTTGCCACTCAGCAAGTGAGTACGCATTGCTGAAGAGTCCCGAAAAAGGTCGAGACAGGTATCCAGTACTCTTTAGATTTCAGTGGTTGTTAAAAGGATGTCGATTCCTGAGGAAATTGTTTTTAAAATTTCATTAAAATGTTTCGTTGTTTCAAGAGTTTATTTTCATCTTATCAAATTTATAATCGATAAATGATAATAATTCATTTTGATCAGAAATTGATTGACTTACTTGTTCATTTTTATCTACGCAAAGTAATATTTGAGAAAAAACAAACAAAAAAAGACTTAGTTATGAATTAAATATGAATTCATTTAATATTGTCATCAGGATATTTAAGGAGAAATGAATGCATAACTTTTTTATATAAATATGTAAGTTTTGGTTTAGCTTTTAGAATTACTGTGACAGATGGGCGATTCGGAAGCAAAGTGGCGATTCAAACAAAAAGAGTGAGTGGTAGGTATTTCACATGAATTTATTATTTCTAAGTTTGCTAAATTCTGTTCAACCATTTATTATTATTATAATTATTATTATATCTTTTAATTCCTAGAGGAACATAGGGGTTCAGCCACGTGTCTCCATTGCCTTCGGTTTTCTGCCAACTTTTTAACTCCGCTCCAAGTCTGCCCACATGCTTTCATCTCCTCCTCACATGACCTTCTCCAAGTCACCCTTGCACTGACGACCAACTCGCCGCTTCCCTTTCAGGTTCCACTCGAGCAATTGCTTGTCTAGTGAGATGTCACTTGATGGTTTCCACAGCGTATGGCCAATCCATCTCCATTTCTCCCTGCAGATTTGTTTCACAATCGGTTCCTGGTTGGTTCTCTCATTGCCATAGATCCCTGTCGCTGATCTTTTCTGACCGGCCATCTGATCTTGATTAGTATTGAGCGAAGACAACTGTTAATGAAGGTCTGAAGTTTGTTTGAGATGCTCTTTATGACTCACCAAGTCTCTGATCCGTATAGTGAGTAGCACTGACTTCACATTGGAGTTGAAAGTCCGGATCTTATTTTTGATTCTGAGTGGTGTTGACCTCCACACAGACTTAACAGTAATGAAAGCTTGTCTCGCTTTTCCGATTCTGGCTTTGATATCCTCGTCAGTTCCGCCTGTAGTTGAAACGATGCTTCCCAGGTAGTTAGGTAAAGGAGGTTGTTTTTTTCAGGTTCCTCCCATTTATGCTGATTGTTGTCTGTTGTTGCTGTTGGTGTTGGCCATGAATCTTCATCACCTCTGTTTTATCTATGTTCACCCGATGGCCTATTTTGTCTGGATGCTTCTTCTGCCAACTTGTTGCTTTTCACTTGCATATCTTCCAGTTTGTGGGAAATCAGACATATATCATCAAGGGCAAAGTCCAGATCCTTCAAGTTTTTTGTGTTAGTCCATTTTATGCCTGATTCCTCGCTGCCCGCTGTCTGTCGCATTATCCAATCTACTGCAATCAGGAAGATCATTGGCGATGGTAGACAGCCTTGTCTCACTCCCGTCCTCACTTCGAAGGCTTCCGTAAGTTTCCCGTTGTGGATTACCTTGCATGTAGCGTTGTTGTATAACTGTTGGATGAGATATATAATTGTCGATGGGACCCCGTAGTAGCGGAGTAGTTTCCAAATCACCTCTCGATCGACGCTGGGCTGTCGAAGGCCTTTTCAAAGTCGATGAAGTTGAGTGAGGTGGAGAGGTGACTGCCATTCCAAGCTTTGTTCAATGATGATTCGTAGAGTGGCGATTTGATCAACACATGATTTGTTTCTCCTGAATCCAGCCTGTTCCGGTCGAATTTATTTGTAACTACTGTCTTTTCCGGCCTACTAAAAACAATACCCTTGAAATGAATCAAGCATTCGCAACTTTCTCTCTCTCTCTCGAATATCACCTCTGTGAGCTGAGCTAAACCTAGTACATCTCTTATGAGCTCAGTCACAAATGAATAAAGCGGCCATCTGATGTTTAAATCACTTCTATCTAGCTGGCAGGCAAGCACTACTAGTCAATGTGAGTTGTATTCAACTACTCATATCAGACAGTCAGTAGTACATGGCTCCGTGAATTTACCCTTGTTCAGTTACTGGAAATCTAATTTATCACAACATACGTCTCTCTCGTTGTTTCTTTTTTTCCAATTGTTTTGACATGATAGTTATATAAGTGAAGTTTTATAAAAGGATAATGGATAGGCAATGAACTATCTCATTGATTTCTTTACTATTTTTACACTAATGGTCAAAGATTTAGGCTATGTAGATGTCACAGTGAGAGGACAAGTGGCATCCTTTGAAAAAAATGTACAGATCTGGTTACTAGTCATTGTGTAACAGTTTACAGATTAAAATAATTTGTGGAGATTCTACTAATTTCTTGCTGGTAGTTGACATAAGAATACTGAAAAATTGTTTTTTATCTGCATTGGAATGCGGTCACTAGACACGGTTCCAATAGTTGTAGCTTGATAGGAACATTTTGACTTACATCTCATTGCCCCCTCCACCTCGCCTCCAGTGACATACACTCTACTTTAACATGTTCGCTTATATGTATTGGATGTCTTGTGGGCATCAGTGGCACAGCGGTAGAATGCTCGCCAACCACACAGGTGGTTCGGGGTTTGATCTCCGGCCAGCACAGTCCTTTACCTTGCAAAGCCAGTAATAAGACTTGTAAAGGGGGAAGGTTGGGCATGAGTCTCGCAACCCTATCCCCTAAAAATAAATACCATGGCTACCGAAACTTCAAGCCTCTAGTCTGAAGCCTTACGTTCCGCTCAGAACGTAAAGGAATAAAATAATCATCTTTGTCTTTTATTTGTTTAATTGTTACCATTTGTTAAACAGAGAATTTGTATACATCTTCTAGGGGTATACGTAAGGCCTATGTACGCTTGGCAATATGAACTATTGTGTAATCAAAATTTAGGATCTGACAATATTTCATCTGTTAGGGGCAGAACTAAAAAGTTTACTTTTAAGATCTATTTGAATCCTTTTTTTTCTTATTTTCTTCTCTCCGCTTAAATATTTTATTCTTTTGTATTAGGTTAACTGACAGAAAACAGGGTATAGTTTAACATGCAGATTGAATTTAAATCAAGAATTAGCTTGCAACTGGTCAATTCTTCGAAATTCTAATCTTATAAGGTAAGTGTTATTGTACATGTTATTTTGACAATATGAACAGTTTTGAGTACGGAGATATTCCTTTTATGTACACTTGAGAATACTCGTTTTATTGAAGAGCGTGGACAACACTTGTTGTATCTGGTATGTAACAATACAATAACTGGCGAGGTTTAGTTAAATTTAGCTTTGCAAATATAAATCTAGTCAGTGTCGGCTAAAATTCTGTTGAGAAGGTGATGCAGCAGTTTAGAAGGATACATACTTTTAACTTCTGTCACAATCAGTAATAAAATGTAAAATCGTGAGGTTAAGATTATTGTTGGTCAAATAAGAGTAGCAGTGAACTATTACTGTTTATGTTACAGTTTTAAGCAGTTGTATGAATCATGTGGATTTATGAAATTAGTCCTAAGGTAGATCTCATCTATAAACTACATTCAAAAGTTATTGGAAACCTAGTAGCGTTCAGTAAATGTCTCCTCGTAGTTTTTAGGACAATTCATGATTTAACATTAGCTTACAGACCTTGAAGCTCGTCTGTTTTGGACTAGATTCACCATGTATTTTTAAGTACATGTTACTTAAACATTCCAAAATAGGACGAAATATATATCTATGACGTCTAGTTTCTTAACGATTCTCTGGTTGAATATCTTAGACGCCTAACTGCAAACTGTTTCAACTAATCAAGTGACCAGTTACCCCTATGAATATGATTAATTATTTTGTTTACTCTCTTTGTTGGATTCAATGCCAGCTAATTTAGGTTTACAAGTGTATCGATCAGGAATCAAACTCAGACCATGTACAGGTAGTTAGCGAGCATTCTACCAGTGAACCAACAATGTATACTTTTAATTTTTTCTTTCAATTAAATAGTGATTTAAATTCATATTCAAGTCATTACCATTAACCATTAACGCAGTATCACTATTAAAAGCTGAATTATCTTGACTGATAATAATTATAAAGGTAACAGAAGTAAAACTAAACATTCAGCCTGTTTTAAGTACTGGTTTGTAGGGATTTGATTGATTGGTTACAGGATTTCATCATGAACATTGGAAAAACTGGGAGTACTGGACAGCTGTTTCGTCAGCCTAGTTTGGGACTCTTCAGGGTTGCAGTGACTTAATGGTCTATGAGCTAGCTCGCCTTGTAACTGGGAAGTCCCTGGTTCGAACCCCAGTGGGTAAGCACTGATCAAGAGCCCCGAACTAGGATGAAACAGGTTTTGCAATGGTTCTCTAACCAATGTCAGTTCATGATGAAATCCTGTAACCATTCAGCCTGTTTCTTGGGTTCGAATACCACTCCACCTACTTCAACCTCGGTAAAGGAATAGTACCACCAACTCTCATACAGATAAGTAAAGGTCATAGTCGAGTGTAGCATAAAGACCAGTCGGGGTCACTGAATTTATTATTATTATTATCCTTGTCATTATTATTATCATTTAAAACTTACCTGGAGAAGTTAAATCCATTTCCTCAGGTTTCTACAAAGAACATAAAGGGAAATAATTTTTAGTGCCTTTTCTAACAAAATAAGTTTTATTTCTCACTTTTGTTTTTTTTTGAATAAAAACGTTTGATTTGTATGAAATAAGCGTATATAAATGCTCCAGTTTTAGTTTACATGATTACAGGTATAGCCTTTTAAAACACAAGATAATGTGAACATATTTCAAATGTGCAACAAAGAAACTGTGAAAGGTAATTTATCAGCAAGCATCGTGCAAAATAATAACTGTAGTAGTAGTAGTGTACATAACCCAGAGCAGGTAATAAATAATAATGTATGTACCATATATATATGTGTATGACTAACAAACTCTATTGATGATATAAATGAAGGTAGTGATGTTATCCCCCCTTGAGAATAGCATCACAGGTGGGTAATGAATCAGTAGAAGACTGAAATAAACACTTGGTGTAAAACCACTGTCTTCTAATCATCTTTAAATAGATCAATGGATAAATGGAATTGGACCTAGAGCATACTCTAGAGTACCTTTTTTACAAATTGTCCAGTAATTAGGCAAAGACATGAGTAGATGTGCGTCGACTAACTAGAAACTAATCTTATCAAGTGTTTCATAATACACATTCAATGTTAAAATAAGGTAAAAATTGATAAAAAGCATCAAATGTCGCATAACAATACTGTAGGCTGTATACCGGAGCATACAAAAATTGCCTACTCATTTGCAACCCTTTGTACATTTTGTAAAATGAACCAAAAAAATTTACTTCAATGTAAATGGAAAAAAACAATAAAGAAAAGATGAATGATGTAACGAATGAAAAAAATAACACAAACAATTCAGTAATTATGCGAAATACGGTGAAAAGTGACATTATCCATAAGATAGATGATGTTAAAGCATAATTTATCTTTTATTGCAGATGAACAGGCTTAGCTATAAAGATTGGTGCTGAATGTGTGCAAAGTATTAAAATTTCAAGCAGCATAACATTCTTGTCATATAGGACTACTAAACTAACCGTTTCAGAAGTAGAGTTTATTGTAATAATTTGATATAATGTAGCATTTTTTCGTTCACGTAGTGTTGATGAATAATCAGGTTCAGAGAATTCTTCAGTTGTTGAAGTTGTATGATTATAAGCGATTGGCTGAATAATTGTTCCATTCGTTAAATGAATTAAGCCGTCTTCATTGATAAATGAATTAAGCACAGGTTCACCTGATACAGCATCATAAACAAAGTCTTGCATTGATGATACATTATGATAAATAAAATACCGTTGACCGTCAGCAATAGAAGAAAACACTGGGAAAAGGAAACCATCAGGAAACTCAATCCAACCATCTGAGCGAAGGAAAGCCCCAGGAACTGATTGACCGGAGAGCGTATCATAAATTTGAGGCACATCATTTCCTTCACCATTATATACAACGAAACGACCACCTGTTCGATTTCCAATACCTATTATATCTCCCGTGAACAATCGAAACAAGGAACCGCCCAATAAAGAACCATCCAGAAACTCACCAGTCAGAGAATCCAAAACAACGGATTTATTGTCGGAATGCGTGGGCATGTAAATAAATCGCGGATAAACAATATCCGGTGGAAGAAACAAATCACCATCGGAGAAATGGATCAAACCGTGATCATCCACAGTGGCTCCTTCGATCAGTTCACCGGTATGCCTATCGAACACCAGGTGTTCATTTTTCGCTGAGTCGAAATGTATTAGGTATTGTGAACTGTTGTCATTTGAACCTGGTGCAACACGCCTGCCATCTGGGAAGTGGATCAGTCCGTCTTCACTATACACAGCCTCCCTGATGTGACCACCTGTTCGTCTATCGAAAACTAATTTCTCATCACTGTTTGGATCCTGAATTATCACGTATCTGTCGAGTTTAGACGAAGGCTCAATAGCCATACGGCCATCGCTGAATAGTATCAGACCGTTGGAGTCTACTTGAGCATCTTCTATCTGCTCTCCTGAGAAGTGGTCGTACACTCGAAGGGTCTCACCGTCGTCATCGGCGACTACCATGTATTTGGAGCCGTCTTGAGATGAAGGAGCAACTAGTTGTCCGGATTCCAATTTGATCATGCCATTGTGGTGGAGGGTGGCATTCATGAGTTCTGTGCCAGCACGACGGTCGAATATGACAGGGTCTCCTGTCAGCTTGTCCTGTGCTACTAGATAACGGCCTTCAGTCTTCGAGGGTGTAATGGCTAGGCTTCCATCTGGTAAATGTATTACACCATCCTTGTCCAGATAAGCATCTTTGACTTGATCTCCTGACCTGCGATCAAATATCATTGGCTCTTGTCCGTCCTCAGTAGCTTCAACGACCATGTAATTTGCACTTTCATTTGAGCTGGGTGCAACGAGCTTCCCATCAGGAAGCTTGGCTAGACCGTTATCTAACATAGTTGCTCCAATAATCTTTTGACCAGTTTTGGTATCTACCAAGACGGTTGTATTTTCAGCTGTATCGTTAAAGACGATGTACCTGTGCTTAACTCTCTCTTGATCTAGGTGCAGTTTTCCGTCAGGTAGGATTATCAAACCCTGAGAATCCACAGTGGCTCCTTCGATCAGTTCACCGGTATGCCTATCGAACACCAGGTGTTTATTTTTCGCTGAGTCGAAATGTATTAGGTATTGTGAACTGTTGTCATTTGAACCTGGTGCAACACGCCTGCCATCTGGGAAGTGGATCAGTCCGTCTTCACTATACACAGCCTCCCTGATGTGACCACCTGTTCGTCTATCGAAAACTAATTTCTCATCACTGTTTGGATCCTGAATTATCACGTATCTGTCGAGTTTAGACGAAGGCTCAATAGCCATACGGCCATCGCTGAATAGTATCAGACCGTTGGAGTCTACTTGAGCATCTTCTATCTGCTCTCCTGAGAAGTGGTCGTACACTCGAAGGGTCTCACCGTCGTCATCGGCGACTACCATGTATTTGGAGCCGTCTTGAGATGAAGGAGCAACTAGTTGTCCGGATTCCAATTTGATCATGCCATTGTGGTGGAGGGTGGCATTCATGAGTTCTGTGCCAGCACGACGGTCGAATATGACAGGGTCTCCTGTCAGCTTGTCCTGTGCTACTAGATAACGGCCTTCAGTCTTCGAGGGTGTAATGGCTAGGCTTCCATCTGGTAAATGTATTACACCATCCTTGTCCAGATAAGCATCTTTGACTTGATCTCCTGACCTGCGATCAAATATCATTGGCTCTTGTCCGTCCTCAGTAGCTTCAACGACCATGTAATTTGCACTTTCATTTGAGCTGGGTGCAACGAGCTTCCCATCAGGAAGCTTGGCTAGACCGTTATCTAACATAGTTGCTCCAATAATCTTTTGACCAGTTTTGGTATCTACCAAGACGGTTGTATTTTCAGCTGTATCGTTAAAGACGATGTACCTGTGCTTAACTCTCTCTTGATCTAGGTGCAGTTTTCCGTCAGGTAGGATTATCAAACCCTGAGAATCCACAGTGGCTCCTTCGATCAGTTCACCGGTATGCCTATCGAACACCAGGTGTTCATTTTTCGCTGAGTCGAAATGTATTAGGTATTGTGAGCTGTTGTCATTTGAACCTGGTGCAACACGCCTGCCATCTGGGAAGTGGATCAGTCCGTCTTCACTATACACAGCCTCCCTGATGTGACCACCTGTTCGTCTATCGAAAACTAATTTCTCATCACTGTTTGGATCCTGAATTATCACGTATCTGTCGAGTTTAGACGAAGGCTCAATAGCCATACGGCCATCGCTGAATAGTATCAGACCGTTGGAGTCTACTTGAGCATCTTCTATCTGCTCTCCTGAGAAGTGGTCGTACACTCGAAGGGTCTCACCGTCGTCATCGGCGACTACCATGTATTTGGAGCCGTCTTGAGATGAAGGAGCAACTAGTTGTCCGGATTCCAATTTGATCATGCCATTGTGGTGGAGGGTGGCATTCATGAGTTCTGTGCCAGCACGACGGTCGAATATGACAGGGTCTCCTGTCAGCTTGTCCTGTGCTACTAGATAACGGCCTTCAGTCTTCGAGGGTGTAATGGCTAGGCTTCCATCTGGTAAATGTATTACACCATCCTTGTCCAGATAAGCATCTTTGACTTGATCTCCTGACCTGCGATCAAATATCATTGGCTCTTGTCCGTCCTCAGTAGCTTCAACGACCATGTAATTTGCACTTTCATTTGAGCTGGGTGCAACGAGCTTCCCATCAGGAAGCTTGGCTAGACCGTTATCTAACATAGTTGCTCCAATAATCTTTTGACCAGTTTTGGTATCTACCAAGACGGTTGTATTTTCAGCTGTATCGTTAAAGACGATGTACCTGTGCTTAACTCTCTCTTGATCTAGGTGCAGTTTTCCGTCAGGTAGGATTATCAAACCCTGAGAATCCACAGTGGCTCCTTCGATCAGTTCACCGGTATGCCTATCGAACACCAGGTGTTCATTTTTCGCTGAGTCGAAATGTATTAGGTATTGTGAACTGTTGTCATTTGAACCTGGTGCAACACGCCTGCCATCTGGGAAGTGGATCAGTCCGTCTTCACTATACACAGCCTCCCTGATGTGACCACCTGTTCGTCTATCGAAAACTAATTTCTCATCACTGTTTGGATCCTGAATTATCACGTATCTGTCGAGTTTAGACGAAGGCTCAATAGCCATACGGCCATCGCTGAATAGTATCAGACCGTTGGAGTCTACTTGAGCATCTTCTATCTGCTCTCCTGAGAAGTGGTCGTACACTCGAAGGGTCTCACCGTCGTCATCGGCGACTACCATGTATTTGGAGCCGTCTTGAGATGAAGGAGCAACTAGTTGTCCGGATTCCAATTTGATCATGCCATTGTGGTGGAGGGTGGCATTCATGAGTTCTGTGCCAGCACGACGGTCGAATATGACAGGGTCTCCTGTCAGCTTGTCCTGTGCTACTAGATAACGGCCTTCAGTCTTCGAGGGTGTAATGGCTAGGCTTCCATCTGGTAAATGTATTACACCATCCTTGTCCAGATAAGCATCTTTGACTTGATCTCCTGACCTGCGATCAAATATCATTGGCTCTTGTCCGTCCTCAGTAGCTTCAACGACCATGTAATTTGCACTTTCATTTGAGCTGGGTGCAACGAGCTTCCCATCAGGAAGCTTGGCTAGACCGTTATCTAACATAGTTGCTCCAATAATCTTTTGACCAGTTTTGGTATCTACCAAGACGGTTGTATTTTCAGCTGTATCGTTAAAGACGATGTACCTGTGCTTAACTCTCTCTTGATCTAGGTGCAGTTTTCCGTCAGGTAGGATTATCAAACCCTGAGAATCCACAGTGGCTCCTTCGATCAGTTCACCGGTATGCCTATCGAACACCAGGTGTTCATTTTTCGCTGAGTCGAAATGTATTAGGTATTGTGAACTGTTGTCATTTGAACCTGGTGCAACACGCCTGCCATCTGGGAAGTGGATCAGTCCGTCTTCACTATACACAGCCTCCCTGATGTGACCACCTGTTCGTCTATCGAAAACTAATTTCTCATCACTGTTTGGATCCTGAATTATCACGTATCTGTCGAGTTTAGACGAAGGCTCAATAGCCATACGGCCATCGCTGAATAGTATCAGACCGTTGGAGTCTACTTGAGCATCTTCTATCTGCTCTCCTGAGAAGTGGTCGTACACTCGAAGGGTCTCACCGTCGTCATCGGCGACTACCATGTATTTGGAGCCGTCTTGAGATGAAGGAGCAACTAGTTGTCCGGATTCCAATTTGATCATGCCATTGTGGTGGAGGGTGGCATTCATGAGTTCTGTGCCAGCACGACGGTCGAATATGACAGGGTCTCCTGTCAGCTTGTCCTGTGCTACTAGATAACGGCCTTCAGTCTTCGAGGGTGTAATGGCTAGGCTTCCATCTGGTAAATGTATTACACCATCCTTGTCCAGATAAGCATCTTTGACTTGATCTCCTGACCTGCGATCAAATATCATTGGCTCTTGTCCGTCCTCAGTAGCTTCAACGACCATGTAATTTGCACTTTCATTTGAGCTGGGTGCAACGAGCTTCCCATCAGGAAGCTTGGCTAGACCGTTATCTAACATAGTTGCTCCAATAATCTTTTGACCAGTTTTGGTATCTACCAAGACGGTTGTATTTTCAGCTGTATCGTTAAAGACGATGTACCTGTGCTTAACTCTCTCTTGATCTAGGTGCAGTTTTCCGTCAGGTAGGATTATCAAACCCTGAGAATCCACAGTGGCTCCTTCGATCAGTTCACCGGTATGCCTATCGAACACCAGGTGTTCATTTTTCGCTGAGTCGAAATGTATTAGGTATTGTGAGCTGTTGTCATTTGAACCTGGTGCAACACGCCTGCCATCTGGGAAGTGGATCAGTCCGTCTTCACTATACACAGCCTCCCTGATGTGACCACCTGTTCGTCTATCGAAAACTAATTTCTCATCACTGTTTGGATCCTGAATTATCACGTATCTGTCGAGTTTAGACGAAGGCTCAATAGCCATACGGCCATCGCTGAATAGTATCAGACCGTTGGAGTCTACTTGAGCATCTTCTATCTGCTCTCCTGAGAAGTGGTCGTACACTCGAAGGGTCTCACCGTCGTCATCGGCTACTACCAGATATTTGGTAGCGTTTTTTTTTGTAGATGCTACTATTTTTCCATCAGGTAGCTCTATCAATCCGTTTGTTTGGATTTTTGCCCCTGGTACGATCTTTCCTTCCCATCTGTCGAGGACTGTTTGTGTTTTGTGTAGGGGATTTTGAGCTATTATATATCTGTCTTTGTTTTTGTTGATTAACACATGCATTGTGTTGTCTCCCAGATATATAATACCTTCGTCGTCGACATATGCATTTTCTTCTTGTTTTCCTGTGAATGTGTTGAATACTAATTTTTCTCCTGTTTCGGTTAGATTTTCGCCGATTATATATTTTTGATTTACATTCTCTGGTCTTGTTGCAATTATGGTTCCATTTGGCAGGATTGCGAGTTCATTCGTTATTTTTATCGCTCCCGTTATAATGTCGTTGTTCTCCAAGTCTTCTATATCAATTAATCCTTCTGTACCCGGTTCTTTCATAATATATCGGTGTTGATAGTTTGGTCTCGTTACAGATTTTGGTTTCAAGGTTGTTTCTGTTACAGTTGTATGATATTCTGCTTCTGTTGTATATATTTCATTGATTTCTTTACCTTGTAGTGTGTTGTCTTCTGTAGTATAAGCCTAAAACATGAAGTATTTAGCAAAAGTATGAAATAAGGATATAATCCCTAGTCATAGATTTCACTCAGATTTGATTGGTCTTGTGAGTTAATGTGTTGGGTTCATTTTCTTTTTTATATTTCCTTATTGTATTATTATTATTCCTAGTAAAATTTGTTCACCGTCAACCACCTATGACTTTATTTAAACAGTTTGGAATTTACCGTGTGTTAGTGTTCATTTGTTCAATTATTTTAGTTTCAGTTAGTTACAGGATTTCATTATGAGATGACATTGATTAGAGAACCATTTGAAAACCAGCTGGGAGTACTGGACAGCTGTTTCGTCCTTGTTTAAGACTCTTCGGCAGTACGCTTTCACCGGGGTTCGAAACAAGGACCTTCCATTTACGAGGAAAGCTCGCAAACTATTCAGTCATTGGGACAAGATCTGACAGTCCGTGAATTCCAACTTCTGCAAATTCAGCAGGTTGCGTGTGTGAACTAATCCTCGCCAATGACGTTAGCTGGTGGTCTCGGTATTTCGTGAATTGGCAAAAGTTGGAATTTATAGGCCATTTGATTAAGTCCCCGTGGCTGAATGGTCTACGAGCTCACCTTGTAACCAAAAGGTCCTGGGTTCAAACCCTGGTGGTAGGTCCGTACTGATGAGGAGTCGCAAACTAGGACGAAATGGCTGTGCAGTAATCCCAGGTTCCCAAGTGTTTCTCTAAGTGATGTAAGCTCATGATGAAGTCCTGCAAATGAACACTTGGATATTCTAGTTTTAATCTATAGGCTAATATTTTATCTCTATTATGATTGATTTAAAGTTTTTATTTGTTTTAGGCAACCTAAGTAATATGAGCTGACGATACACACTCTTAGACAGATTGTTTTTATTGGTCTAAATTACATCCAGCAGTTTTACAGCTAAAAGTAATATATGCTTTCAAGTGTTGGTATGTAGGGATTTGTTTGGGTACAGGATTTCATCATGGGCTGCCTTATTCAGGTAGGTAGTTACCTGGGGCTCTAGTGAGAAGTCATGACCAGTAGGATGCAGCAGGTCGAGTGTGAGGACAAATACTCGCGGAACACATTGGCTAGGGGTCGCGCTATGTCGTGAATTGGCAGAAGTTAGAATTTATGGGCCATTGGATCAGGTCCCAGTGGCTTAATGAGATACGAGCTCGCCTTGTAACCAGAAGGTCCTGGATTCGAATCTTGGTGGGTTCATACGTATGAAGAGTCCCAAACTAGAACGAAACAGCTGTCCAGTATTCCCAGGTTTATATATATATATATATATAGTTTTATAAATTACCTGCATCTCAACCGATTTTCCCCCAAAATAAGTCTGCCTATTAATGCTAACATGAATAATTTTTTTTCCAAGTACACTGTGCATCAGTCTGTCTGCTGGTTGTTCTGTCAAGACTTTCACAGAGGTGTGCAATACATACATCTTAACTTTCCCCTGAGATTTGTGCTTCTATGTGTCATTATAATTACCTGATGTCTTTATTCTATCTCAGTCTGAGAATAATTTTAAAATACTTTAGAATAATTTATCTACTTGAATATGTGTGACCTTGTAACACATTAGTGATTCGTTCGAATTCTGTCACAATCTTTATCTTTTTCAAAAGCATGCATAGTTCAAAGGTAATTTTTGATTTCAAGGTTGTCCGCTGTCTTAGCGAATCACGGATGCTATGTGTTGTGTATTTAACACATGATTGGCTAACGTAGCAAACAAACTTGTCGTTGTCACTGGCTTCGAAACCATACTTTATTTTAACAATACTTCATAATAAAGTGGTTTCGAAGTTATCTTGTTCAAATAATTTGCTAATTAAATAACCATAAGTCTATTTGTACATAACGCTTCAGATCACATAAGTTACATAGGAGTTAACAGTGACGTGTAGTGTCTCAGATCTTGTGTGGGTGTGTGTGATTGGAATTGGTGATTTAATTTGTTCACGTTCGTTTACTGTATAACTTCACATCTGCTTAAGGGTAAACCTAAGAATTACATTAAGGAAAGTATAGTAAGATTTATGACATTACGGTCATAGGATTCATTAAAAGCTATTTATGACTAGTTAAGGTCAAAAGTAATTTGGAATTTACTAAATTATTCATAAATATTCAAATTCTATTCGGGTAATAAGTTGTCATTTCAGTAAACAATTATGATTATTTGTGTCTGTATTTAAATAAGCGTTTAGCTACTTTTCTCACCTCATTGAATAATGCTGTCTTCGAAAGAAAAGAATAATCGTACCTCAATAAAGACTATTGACTTACTAATGGTTTAACATTTTTTATAGAAATGTATATGATGTTCATAGGTAAGTGATTCGAGCTTAAAGATAGACATTTTTTATTAGCGCTGGCTATTAAATGCGTGTTTCTCAAATCCATAATTTACAAATTAATTCACATTTTGCAATTTACACAGTTCAAGGAGGTGCAAATTGTGAATTCATATTTGCAAATTATGAATTTGAGTTATGATACGACCAGTTAACTCAAGTAGCTTGCCAGAAATCCGGTAGTTTGGAATGACTCAGCTCTCTGAGCTGAATAAAACCGAGTACAACTCTGATGAACTGAACCCGAAACGAATGAGACGGCCGTCGAGTGTGTAGATCACCTTGATTTGGCCGGGAAGCACTAATGATTGACATGAGTTATATACAACTACTCATCTCAATCAATTAGTAGTATATAGTTATGTGCTTATTTTATTTTTTTGAGTGTTGCGTTTCTGAAGATTTCACTGATTTGAAAGTAAATATCGTTAAACACTGACCCGAACAGCTGAATGGTAACGTCTTTGACTTCACCACTGAATGACACTGGTCCGAATCCTAGAGGGGACATAAGTTCCTTTAAGGTTGACAAGTGCCAACTAGCATGAAACCTAGGTCTAGGGCTTCCTGCCTATAGACTTCTACCATCTAATATTATCAGACTTCCTTTAAAGTTGCCATCAAACCCGAAACCAGAAGATCGTTAAACATTGACATTTCTCTGGGTGGGTGGGGCGTTCATCTAAAAGCAGATGATACTATGGGACTGTTTGGTCCTTATTTTAGATTGTACAGTATAGTGTTCACAAAATATCGGTTTATATTCAGATGGACAATATTTTCATTTTGAGGTTCAATGATATATATCAGCACAAATATTACTCGGTTTATTGATGAGGTATGTTACAAAGATAATTCCCGTTACGGTCATCTATTTGACCTACTGAAAAGCCTCAAAATATGGACGGAATAATTATATAATGTACATTAGTTTCTAATAGTTCTTCCATTTAATTTCAGTTATTGACGAAATACATCTTGTAATTAAGCTTTTTATTGATCACTTTTTTAATCATATCAATTGTCACAAATGTTATGATCATGAACATTGGATAATAAATACCGTTTCACTGTGTATTTTTACATGTGATAAACAAATTTATACTGGAATTAAATACTGCCACAGTGTCCAAGTTTTACACAGGTATCTTTTAGTTTTCGACTAAGGAATTAGGCGAACGCTTATTGTTGGTTGCACACTAGTCAGTAACTAGTGTAGTGTGTCTAGTCCTATCTTCGCTGCAGACTGAATTCTATCAGTCAAGCCTGCAATGTGGCCACCATGCTAGGTGGCTGGCCATTACAGTGCACTGTGAATTGTTGGTATTAGATGGATGAAGGCGATCGGCAGGAAGCCTTGCCTAGACCTAGGTTTCGTGCTAGTTGGTACTCATTAGCCAGGAAGACGTATCCGCAACCTTGAAGGAACACATGTCCCTTCTGAGATTCGAACCCGCGTTACCCAGTGCTGCAGTCTGAGACGTTACCACTGAGCTATTCAGGCTCGCGAATGACTTCCTGTAGGACAGTATTGGATATTTTTGATTGCACACTAGTCAGTAACTAGTGTAATGTGTCTAGTCCTATCTTCACTTATTGTGTTGATTGATCTTAGTTGATCATGAGAAATACGTTCCAGATGGAACGAAAGAAGGTAAATATGCTGGAATTTATGAAAAGTCTTATGGGCGCAATAGTTTTCATATTGCATGTTCTCTTAAGCTTTGGTTTAATATCACAGAATTTTAGATGAATAGTGGTCTGAAGACGTTTAAGTAACAGTTGTGAGTAGCTATTATTTGAAGTTATGAGAAAATAATGTATCTAGCAGAATTAAAACAGAAACAAACTAGGTCAAGGTTATTCATGATTCTATTTTGTCTTGATTAATGAATTCTGGCTGGATTCATACTTTTGGTCATTGTCTCAAATGATACGATACAAGTTGCTTAAGTCACGGGAGGCCCAAGTTCGAATCTCAGCTAACATCTCTGAACCTTAATTAGCCGGTATCAAGGCCGAATAGCAAGGGTAGGTCGGCCGTCAGGCTAGCAACCCCTCTCATGAAACAACACCATCACTATTGAAACTTTAAAGCTTTAAGGCTTGAAGCCTTATGTTCCACTGAGAACGCAGGGAATGAAAGATGACATAATACGGGTACATACGAGTAGTTATCTCTTATTAAATTGAAGTAGTCTAAATACAGACAGAGTGATTGTTCTACTTGTTTGAGATCAAGCTTATTAGCATTGGTGAACTTCTCTACTTTTAGTTTTGTCGCCCACTTTTGTATCATATATATATATATATATATATATATATATATATATATATATATATATATATATATATATATATATATACCATCTGTTGTGGCCTGGACATTTTTCATTTACTGCTGGAAACAGGATGTCAAGCCACCTTGAACTTTGAATAACTGATATTGTTATGTTCAGATCATCTCAATAAAAGAAGTTAAGGATCTGTTGTGGTGAGCGCTAGCTGCAAGCCAAAAATTGTAGACAGCAGTTTACGTCAATGTTACATCCCGAATCGGGGTCATGAGAAAAAACAATAACAAAGCTTAACCTTGAGGAACTGATCAACCAGTCACAGTGGACTCAACGTGTCCAAATACGATTCGCAGATATATGACGTAACTTTCTGAGAAACGGTCACAAGCAATACAGAATAACCTCCAGTAAGTAAACAACCAATCAGAAGATGTTGCTTCTCTGCTAACAATAACGAATAATAATGTATATAAAACTATAAATATCTATTGATTTTCTCAATAAAGGATCTGTTGTCTGTCCTTTGTCTTCTGTCGTTACACTAATAATTTATGAATTGAAATCTTTTACACATTTTTCATCCATTTATCGCTTTCTATTAGGTTAGAGGTTACACAACCAGTTTTTACAATGATGTAGTAAGTTTAAATATTTCTTATTTATTTAGTCTCTTTGTTTTTCATTTTTATACTTGTTTAGCTGTAAACCTGAGGATCTTTGATGTAGACGCTCGGCTTCCAAGCATTGTGCCGTGGATTTGAACCCCTCTTTTCACCTACCGATTTTGAGCAGTCAGGTAGTATTACTAGCCCTTACACAATAGATAGGTGTCACTACCAACTAGCTGTATGGGGATGCTTGTAGTTGGTGAGTAACATTTTCATTTTGTTACCTTATAAGATATTCTGTCAGTTAACTTGTGCAAGATATTATAAAACGAAATGTTGCATAATTTTGAATCATACAGTTCCCTAAAATCAAGGATTGTTTACAACAATAATATTTTTTTCTCTTTTTCTTTTATCCATGATTTTGGCCCTTAACATTTCAACTCATATTGATTCAGTTTTGACCTTTTATACTGTGTTAATTTTCACCGAAATATATATGTAAGATATGTGTGTACGTTCCGAGTGGAACATAGGGCTTCAGGCTAGAACTTTGAAGTTGCGGTAGCAGCAGTGTTTATTTTTATGGGATGGAGTCATTAGCCTCATGCCCAACCTCCCCTCTTTACTGGCCTTACTACCGACTTCACGAGGCCTAGGAGTGTGTCGGCCGGGGATCACGAAACCCGGACCACAAGCGTGGTTGGAAAGCGTTTCACCACTGAACCACCGACACTGTCAGATGAGCTACTTCTTTTTATTTGTTTTACTGAAATTCATAAAGGAAACTAACTGCTTTATACAGCTATTATTTGTTTCCATTCGATAATTACTATGCAGTCACATCCTAGTTGGATGGAAAGCATACCTTCAGTTCTACTGATTGCCATCTTCAAATAAGTTGCATTTTGTTGTCACTTTTGATGTTCACTGAGTCATTCGATAGGAGAATTTCAGTAGAGTTTTGGTGTAGAATTCATGGGAAATAAGATTTTGTCTCAGATATATTCTTAACTGATGAATACAATTAACTAGCAGTAAGCTTGTTTAAATCACCTACATAATGAACAGTAATGGTTTAAAAAAGTGAATGTGTATGAATATTACTCTAATTTGAAATAGTGTTGCTTATCTCAGAGTATATATCCCAACTGCGTCGGTGGCACGGTGGTAGAATGCTCGCCAACCACGCCTTATGTGGTTCGGGGTTCGATCCCCAGCCGACACACTCCTTTACCTCACTAAGCCAGTAATAAAACTGGTAAAGAGAAAAGGTTGGGCATGAGGCTAACAACCTAATCCTGTAAAAATAAACAATGCTACAGAAACTACAAGCCACTAGCTTGAAGCCGTATGTTCCACTGAGAACGTAAAGAAATGAAAAAAATATATATATCCCAACGAAGAAATATGTGAATAATACTGAACTCAAGTGTATTTTATTGACGAAATATATATACATGTGTAAAACTTGGGCACTGTGGTAGTAGGTAACTCCATATTAGTTTGTTAACATTGATGTTGGTGCCTAGCAGTAAAATCCAAGAGTTGCCCTTCGTTCTGTTTAGAACTTGTCATTGGATATGGGTGATCGTATTCCCACCGGGACTCAGATCCAGCTTCCGCTGTTTCAAATGCTAAAGTATGACCCCCTATGACTGTGGACCATGAGAGATGCCTCCTGTGAAAATGGTACTAGCCACCCTACCTTTGGGGGAAACTAAAACAATAAATTCAACAAAACAACCAATTGACATTAGTTTCATCTTTATGTTAACATTACATTACTATGGTATTCAGTACCATCTGATAAATGTTCAATGACATTAACTCATTTTCATATAGTGAGTTTGTCGTGTTTTTGAATGCTTCTGTAATAAAAATTGATAACTAGTATACTCTATGGTATGAAATACAAAACGCTTTTAAAGAAGGATTAGTTTCTTTTTAGATTAGATTATACAGACACGTTAGTAATAAGTGCGGATAGGTAAAAATAGCTCAAATAGATTTATACTCAGTGTTCGCCTTCGTCATCTAGTCAAGTTATGTAATTTTAGAGTATTATTATGTGCATTTGTATTCAGAAAGAATGATAACTCACCTCTTCATCATCTTGTATTGAACTAGTCTAAAAGAATAAAAAATAATTTTTGTTTATCAGTGTCAACTAATTAATAATGTACTGCTGCAAATTTACATATTAAACAGGCAATATTATATGATGATAACTTACACTAGATTGACTTTACTTCTAATCTCTTTTTCTTGAATAAAGAGTTTTATTAGTGTTACTGATTCTGAGCAATGTGTGTGTGTGTGTGTGTGCGGATGTGGGTGCAAGTCGATGCTATGTCTGTGGTGAGAGCAGGCGGCTAGCCAATTGGTAGACACTAATCTACGTCAATGTCTAGTCACTAATATTGGCCGTGAGAAAATATGAACAAGGCTGATTCAATAACCAATCACAGCAGACTTAACGTGGGCAAATAAGATAGATGGCCTAACTTTTCGGAAAACCCGAAACAACCAATCAGAAGACTCTGTTTGTCCGCTTGAATAAGCTTTAATAATGTACATGAAATATATATAAATACGTGCTGATTTCCGTAATAAAAACGATCTGTTGCCAGCCCTTGTCTTCTGTTGTTACATGTCTTTGTTATGCTTAGTATCCTAGGTGAAAAATGGATCTCCAACAGCCTTGAATCAGTAGACTACTGTTATTGGTGTACTATATGATGATTGAAGGTGCAATGAAAATCTACTTTGCGATAGGATTAGTAGGACGATAGTGAAACAGCAAAGGCCTGGTAAGCATTCGAGTTTCACAACCTAGTTGGTAGTGTGACAGGCCGCTACTTTGAATCCTGCAGTGACGTATACTTTCATTCCATCTCCCGGCGTTTACCATTATACATATTTTTTTTGTTAAAAGTGAATTATCTTAGTTGATTTAATTGGTGGATGTTGACTAGCGGTGGAATCCAGGTTGCAAATTTCGTCCTATTTGTGACTCGTCATTTGGATGTACGTGCATTTCCCAGTGAGTAGTGATGTTCCCACCGAGGCTCAAACCCAGTGCTTATAGTTTCCAACGCCAAAGTGTTATCCACAAGAAGCCGACATGCTGACCTGAGACCAAGCACTTTGGTCCAATCAATCGATGGGAAAATCTAAAATTCAATTAAATCTTAGTTGATTATATACTTTTTATTATAGACGTTTATGATTCTATAAAGAAACTGAAATATACAACTGACTTGAAATATTTCTTTTTCTCATCTCTTTGCGTTTCTGTTGGAACATAAGGCAGGATCAGTAGTTCCATGCCCAACATCCCTTATTTCCCTGACTTACTATTGACTAGTAATCTAGACGAGTTTTCTGTATGTATCAGCCGACAATAGAACCTGGACCTCCATTGTGACTGGAGAACGTACTACCACTGAAGAACTAACTTTAAAATTTTTTAAAAGACTGGGTTATGCCTCTTTATTTATGCAGTTTTCCTAGCGAAAGTAACCACACTTTCTCGGCTGACATTATGAGGTATGTTACTAAGCTATATCTATACACAAGGAATTCTAAGTGAACTAGAATTCAGAAACATTTATTCGAATACATTTGAACAGCCCTAGCAACATGCCTCATACCATCAGCCTACTTTCTCCATAAATTAAGGTATTTATTATACGTTTTTAAAATAAATACATTCTGGAAATAAACAAGTAAATAAATCTTAATTAGGAAGGATTTAGTTGTGTTATTTTTAAATTATCGACGTAAACATTCTAAAAGTTTTTACTGACAGTCAGTGGTAATTTAATATTTTATTTTTATTTACAATTTTGTTTATTTATTCACTTTGACAACTTTTTATTACTTTTGTAGTGAATATGGTCATCTAGTTTATAATAAATATCAAGATTAATTTCGTCACTAGTCAAAGCCAATTAGAAGAAACACTGACAACTAGGGGAAGAGTAAACCCTTTCTTATTTCTTGTTTGTGATGAATACTCTGTATCCTCCTGCGGTGCCATTATGAGGGTGGAGCCCAGTAGTTATTAAAGTCCTAGATGAGTATGTCACCGTTCAACCACTGAGTTGGATTTAGTTAATTCATAATTTTCAACTCCTACTAATCTCAAGTTTGATCATAAACTGACTTCAATTAGAGAGTTGCTGAAATTCAGGAGATAATGAGCAACTGTTGCGTCTTTGTTTGAGACTCTTCATTAGCATGCATCCATCACTCCACCAATGATCGAAAACAAGGTCATCAAGTTAAGAGCGAGCTCGTTGACCATTTAGGCACTGGGATGAAATTCAATGGCTCACCAGTTTTAACTTCTATCAATTAGCCATATATACCGTGACCACCAGCTAATGTCAACGGTGAGCATCCGTCCTCACGTTCATGTCGGTCGACCCCTCTAGCCAGGATTTCTCAATGATAATCTATTGTTATCAGTAAGTAACCGTTCATGTGTCTCAGAATCTGGTTCTAACCGATTATGGCTTCGTGTATGAACTTAGGAGGTAGTGCGTATCTGAGGTGGTCACTATTCTTGGTCTATGACAAAATATATCTGGAAAAGCTTCCAAATACCAATAAACTCAAAATGTGGAAATTAAAATTGTGAATAAACGATAATATTGTAAATGAACTAAATTATTGTCGTTATTATTATTATATTTATTATATCCTTTAATTCCTAGAGGAACATAGGGCTTCAGCCGCGCGTCTCCATTGACTTTTGTTTTCTGACAACTTTTTCACCCCGCTCCAAGTGTGCCCACATGCTTTCATCTCCTCCTCGCATGACCTTCTCCAAGTCACCCTTGCACTGACGACCAACTCGCCGCTTACCTTTCGGGTTCCACTCCAGCGATAGCTTGTCTAGTGATGTCACTTGATGGTTTCCACAGCGTATGGCCAATCCATCTCCATTTCTTCCCGCCTATTTGTTTCACAATCGGTTCCTGCTGTGTTGATTCGCTCATTGCTAGAGATCCCTCACCATTGCTGATCTTTTCTGGCGGGCCATCTGATCTTGAGTATTGAGTGAAGACAACTGAAGGTCTGTAGTTTGTTTGAGGTGTTCTTTATGACGTGCTGACCAAGTCTCTGATCCGTATAGTAAGTAGATCTGACTTTACATTGGAGTTGAAAATCCGGATGTTATTTTTGATTCTGAGTGCTGTTGACCTCCACACAGACTTAAGGGTAATGAAAGCTTGTCTTGCTTTTCTGATTCTGTCTTTGATATCCTCGTCAGTTCCGAATCCTGTAGTTGAAACGATGCTTCCTAGTTAGGTAGGTGAAAGAGGTTGTTTCTTTCAGGTTCCTCCCATTTATGTTGATTGTTGTCTGCTGTTGTTGCTGTTGGTGTTGGTCAGGAATCTTCATCACCTCTTTTTATCTTTGTTAGGTAGTTCAATTATCGGTGTCTTTTTCACATTTATCTTTGAGCCTTAAATAATGAGTAAATGTTGTACAATTGACGTAACTTATTCTACTGTTTTATTTAAAAGAATATAATCAATTGATGGTGACATTATTTATAATGGTCTCGAACTGGTAGACTAGTATGGATTTATTATGTGGGCAGTTGGTAATCTCAGAGGCTGTTAGTTCCAGTTTTGCCAAGACTCAGATTTCAACTTCACCATTGAATCAGCAGCCGCTTTATCATTAGAATTTCTCCAATTCAAGACTATCTCAGATAGCTTCACTATCAGTTAACAACCAGCCTTTCTACTAATCCAGTATGACTAGGATTAAAGGAATACTTAGCTGGGAAGCTAGCATGATGATAAGGGGACAATTATGTGTCATTCGTCTATATGATGGGTGGGCGCTATCCATGGTAATTTCATTGAAATGATAATATGGGTTACAGATCGGTCTCCTAGCTCAGATGATAGATGGAGTGATGAACAACTAACTTGAAGGCCACTGGTTCGATCGAATACTTACACAACCCAAATTTCCTTTCCAACTTAACACTCATCTCTCACTTCATTAATAAACTCAGTGTTCGTAATAAAACAGAGGTTGTTGCCATTTTCTGGTTACTTAATGACGGAAGCGGACAGGTATGTAAGTTATCACCAGATTAAATTTACCCCCCCCCCTCTTTCGTTCTCGGAGGCGGTCGATTAAAATTTGAATTTCCCCAAGTAGTTGACCTTATGTGACTTTGCATAACGTGCTTAAAGGAATTCTGTTATCATATGTTTGGCCTTGTTCAAAGGTGTTTTATCTATCTTTATACACAGCCGGAATATATATTGTTGGGTTTAGTACTTTATCCGCGAAAACATCTTGCGATCACTTTTATCCTCATCCAATCGAGGCAATCATAGTTATATGTTCAAATACAAACAAGCAGATACATTTATGTATATATTTTTTAAAATAATTAATTCTGAAAAATTCATCTTACTAATCTTAATACTTACAATTAAAACATTTCCAAATTCTGGATCATATTTAAAACGATCTGCTTCGCCACTACCTTCATAATTCTAAAACAAATAAGTAAATAAACTTATCTAATACAGTAAATCATTTCAGAATATGTAAAAACAATGTGTTAGGAGACTGGTGGGTCTTGTTTGCTGTCAGTAGCACACAGAAAAGACATAATATTTACCAATAATCGAAAGCGTAGTCGGAAATAATTAGTTTCATTTGATGGATGGTGAATAGCAGTGGAATTCAGGATGCGCATTTTTTTTCCTATTCAGGACTGGTCAGCTGATGTATTTGCAGTCTCCAGTGAGTGATGGTATTTCCACTGAGACTCCGACTGAACGGTCTCGAATGGGGAGAAGTGCGCATCCTGGATTGTATTACTAGTTACCACCTACCAAATAGCGTCATGTTAATCTTCAGACTTCGCTGAAGCAACCGTACTTTATTCAGTTATGACTGACTGAGTTTCAACGTAGAATTTCGTGTAGTAGTGCAACAATTGAATTTCGAAGGAACAGGAAGAATAATTACATGGAAAAACATGACGACTTAATGGGTCAGACAGAATAGAGAAAGAGAATGTATCTGTGACACGGAGAACGGTTTCGGGTTATATCACTTAAAGTCTCAAGGCATTAGTTCTTAACATCCCAGGGACCCCAACTAGACAGTCTATATAGCCCTATGTGGTTCGAACCAACAGCTACAGACCTGATAGATTAGTTTAAGGTTTTAATTTGACAACACCTAATTGTTTTTCAACCTAATCTTATGTCAGCTAACATTGTTCGACTACTGAGGCCGTGACTCAGTATGCGTAACACGCATCCTAACCATCTCAATTTGTGTAGCTGAACAACCTCCTTTGTTGACTTGGCCTACTTACCTAACATTCCATGCCTAACCTCAGTATTACTTAATATGTTATTTATTTTAACTATTTCAACTTAGTGTGATAAAAATAGCAAATTTGTAATACTACGATCTTTTTTGTAAATACATTTTACAATATTAAAATTGGTGGTAATTATATTTATTTTGTTACTTTTGAGCAACTGAACTGCTTGTTATAATATCATTCATTACTTTCGTTCGAATGACTTAACGCTCAAAATGATGTGACTGGTTGAATTTACTCCCATTCAGCTGTAAATTTAATTTATTATTGGATAGTTTGTGGTTACAAGATCTCATTCTCTATTTTTTAGACCCGATTCTATGTTATCAACTTTTGCAGTTTTGTGATGGAAGTATTTGAATTTTGTACCCAGGACTAGAATTTGATCTATGGTATGTATACCAATAAGTTGATCGTTATTGAGTGCTAAAGAATATTAAGTGAAAATTTTGGTATGAATTATGGTTTGATATCGTTTGGAAAAAATTTGTCTGAAACGCGCGTTTCGTCCTATATTAGGCCCACCAACTGGATGTACATGTTCTCCATTGACTGGTACTACCGCAATTGGGACTCAAACCCAGCATCTTCTGCGCAAAATACCAAAGTGCCATCTAATAGGCCTACATTCCATGACAGCCATCATTTATGCAGTGGGAAATCACAAGTATGAATGAATTAATTTATGGTTAGTCATTTGTGAATTAATCATATTTTTGATTTCCTATATTGATAATTTATAAAATTGAATAAAAAAAGTGTTTTTCCCCCAGTGACGTTACGTTACTGAGGTTAAATAATAACATTAATGGAAATAGTAGTAAAGACTTACCTCTGCTTTAGTACACATATATTTAACAGCATTTTCGTCTGAATGGAAACTAAATGCTTTCAGAAATCCCTATAAGATAAATACAATTAAATAGGTTAATACTGGAAATTAATTATACACTGTGCAGTGAGAATTTTAGTATGCAGTGTAGAAAAAAAGACAGTAAGTTAAAATACATTTTATTGAATACATAAGCAATTTGGAGAGATTTATATGATACCTTCGAAAAATGGAGATTTTAGAAAGCTTTACTTACAATTACGAATTCAAACACTATAGTCATAAACTTTTCCAAGTTGAAATTATACAAATAATCATCAAACTCAACATGTTTGAATCAGTATCAGGGATTTTTTTTAAATTGGATGGAGTCAACAAAGTTGTAGTATGAAGATATCTTGTATGTAAGTTGTGTATAAGTACCAAGTGACTTCATCAGTTGCCACATACTCATGAGTGTTGGTTAGTATGAGGATATATACATGCTGTTGGTTCAAGGACACAGTACTTGCCAGCTACTGACGTGGACCAGCCTCGTCTTCCTAAACCTCACTTAGTTTACTCGCTGGCAGTGGGCTGAGAGAAAATGGAAGTTTAGGCGTGAGGCTCTGCAAAAATAGTACCAATGCTAGTGAAACTTCAAAGCATACACCCTGAAGCTGTACGTTCCACTCGGCGGGCAAAGGGATGAAGTAATCGAGGATATACATGACTACGATAATTACACTTAGGATAAATTTCCGCCTCTTCCTTTACACCAACTTTTTACCTAAGTGTTGTATGTTTCACAAATTTTACTCTTGTTTTTCTGAAGTTTGAATTTTTGTTGTTATAGTGATCCAAATTGATCCAACTTTAAACTTACTTTAGCAAACTATTACTTACTTATTCTGTGCATGTGTCCGTGTTCTTAATAAGTTTACTTCGAAGATTATTCATTAGTATGTGTCATTCATTGATTATAGTAAATGGTTGTTCACGATACATATGTTCCGCCATATTTACAGTCTCAGTTATAAGTATTCATGATGAAATAAAACTTACAAGGGGTTGGTCCTAGGTCTATCAAATTACGTGCTAGTTTGCTGAAGACAAAACTAAAACAGAGGAAATCTTCAATACTCCCTTGTTAATAGCGGTTCTTTAATTTGCACCTTTCCTTCATGAAATCAATCAAACCCTTATAAAAACAACAAATCATCAGTTGCGAATGGTTCAGCGTTAATTTTAATATATTCTGTCATCGTGAATTAATACTGGCTATGGAACTTCATGTGCAGGCTAACACAGTAGTAACTGAAATTCGATAAATAAACTATTCAGCATTCTTTATTTTTTTAATAATTCTGACGGAATATTAGTAAAAATATTCATTCAGACATTTGTAAAACACAAAATATTTGAGCAAAGAATATTCTTTTCGATAAATTCCTCTTCCGGCTCTACAATTATATATATGTTTATATACACAAAATATTCAAGATTCATAGTTAATAACAATATTAGTGTTTTTTAAATAATATCGATTTATAAAGTATGATCAATGCAATTACAGTTCACTAAAGATACTTAAATAATAATAATAATAATAAAGATATAATAGCGAATAGAATATCAACTAAAATTAGAGAAATTCCACAAAAATTCAGGATAATTCAAACCTGGGTGGCCAAGGTAATGATAATGTCTGAACTAACTTCTTTTGGATGCATAAATTAGGCTTGTTAATGTGGATCCCCACAGCCTCAGCAATATTTAGTAGTCGAACTCTTAAGGCAAAATTGAGATTCGTAGGTATGCGGTAAATGACCCTGAAAGCATGGTTAACGTCAATCTTGTGTTCTGTCTCCACAAGATGAGACAGAATAGCGCTACGTATGGATTTTGTATGACCTTTGCTTAACCAGCGATGCAGGGTGATGTTCGGGAATTCGACGAGAAACACTCCTAATTGTGCGGCCTATGTAACTGGCTCCACAGGAGCAGTTAAATTGGTAGATACACATGGAAGAGGCGAAATTAGGCAGTTTATCTTTTACTCCCAAACGCAGAAGCTAAAGACAAACTGCCTAATTTCGCCTCTTCCATGTGTATCTACCAATTTAACTGCTCCTGTGGAGCCAGTTACATAGGCCGCACAATTAGGAGTGTTTCTCGTCGAATTCCCGAACATCACCCTGCATCGCTGGTTAAGCAAAGGTCATACAAAATCCATACGTAGCGCTATTCTGTCTCATCTTGTGGAGACAGAACACAAGATTGACGTTAACCATGCTTTCAGGGTCATTTACCGCATACCTACGAATCTCAATTTTGCCTTAAGAGTTCGACTACTAAATATTGCTGAGGCTGTGGGGATCCACATTAACAAGCCTAATTTATGCATCCAAAAGAAGTTAGTTCAGACATTATCATTACCTTGGCCACCCAGGTTTGAATTATCCTGAATTTTTGTGGAATTTCTCTAATTTTAGTTGATATTCTATTCGCTATTATATCTTTATTATTATTATTATTATTTAAGTATCTTTAGTGAACTGTAATTGCATTGATCATACTTTATAAATCGATATTATTTAAAAAACACTAATATTGTTATTAACTATGAATCTTGAATATTTTGTGTATATAAACAAATATATAATTGTAGAGCCGGGAGAAGAACATTAGTAAACAACATGCTTTTCCTGCTGACATGTTGTTAATGCAGTTAATTTATTCCAATATACTATACAACGAAAAAAACTGCATGCTTGCCTTCTTAATGATTTGAGCAGCTTTGTTATCCACTCGGGGATAAAGTGAACAGGCAAACCTGCCATATATGAAATGTAAATGAAGTGGTAATCCACATTTGTGAACATTGTTACAAAGACATTTCTCTTCGATGAAATGATTGTTTTATGTCTCAATGGAAATTGTTAATTACATTAAAAGTAACAAGGAGCCTACAACGTTACTCTATTAAAATTGCATTAGCAAGAGGCAAGATTCATGTATTGAAGAAAACCCCTAGTCAGTCACCAAATATAATAAGCGGTCATTGAGTTTATCAGAGTCACAAAAACTCTTAAACGTCGTATTCTGATCAGTACCGATTCCATCCCTTCCCGGATTATTTAGTTGAAAAGGAGACCATATATCTTGCATGAACTTTCACCAGAAGCACAAGTACATCTTGAAGATCATGTTATTATGGTTCTCAGAAGTAGATGTGATAGAGGGAATCTTACAATCACAAATGCGCAAACATAGCATAAATGAGTTCATATATGCAGATTTGATCAGCTGAATAAAAGATTTTACGGCAACTTCAATGGAAGACTTAGTTAATTTTAAATTAGCTTCGCATAACTGTACACATCAATTCATAAAATCAAAGCCGAAACATCTACAGCTGCCTCAGTAAGGAAGATTTTATCCAGCCTAATAATTTGACTAAGAATCAAAATATTTTGCTAACGAAACCATAATTTTCAAGATTGTATTAATCATATTCTGAAAATCCCCATAGATGAGTTTAAATTCCAGAATTTCAAGCACGAGAAGAATTAAACAGAAATCGCAGAAGAATCATTTGAATAGGTTCTTGAACGCACGTGGAATGATGTACTTATGCCTCTAAAGTTATACAAAAGGCCGAAACCCTCCAGATCTATAATTCACTGAATCTATGTTGTGCCAGAATTCCAAGTTAGTTTTTCATTAGGTCGCCAACTGAATAACGAAACTATATGTACACATGATGCCATCAGTGTGACCTTGCTGATGAGGAGTTCCAAACTTGGACGAAACACTCTATGTAGTATCCTTCAGGTATCAATGGTTCTCTAACGGATGTCATTGCATTATCTAATAAGCGAAATGTTATAATTTTTAAAAATGCAACCAGAGATAATCAGTGCTTAATAAAAAAAAAGGAATATCTGATTTGAGCATATAAAGTACTTCTAATTCATTTTAATTGAGAAAAAAAGGTGAACTGAAAAAAATTGAATAGTTTACCTCAAAATATTCTGATGCATTTGATAAACCACTATTTAATGCATAAAATGTTGCACCTTTACGAAATAATGGTTCTCCAAGTAAACCTTGAATTGGATAAAAGTGATAAGCAACTCTTTGTGTCTCTTCACATGATGTATAGAAATCAATCTAAATTTGTAGCACGATAAATACAAAAGTAAGAAAATGAATAAAGGATGGAAAGAATTCTTTGTTTTGTACTCAAAAATTGTTTTATTTAAACAACTGAAGTAATAAAATGATATACGGATATGTATATGTATAGATAATACTATCAGTTGATAATAATTTGATAACATACTGGACAAATTTAGTTGACATAACGCACATTGGTGATACAGTGAAGTTTCGAGAACAGTTTACTGCTCATAAGAATGTCACACCTTAATGATTCCCTTTATATACTCATCAGTATTTCTTTAAATTACTGATTAGCGATGAATAAATATTCTTTCCGATAATTTCTCTATCATCCTCTGCAGTTATATGTGATGTATCAAGTGAATTAATAACCAACAAGTTAAGAACTTTTAATGCTGGTAAGCTGCAGCTCATATACCTTAAATTAAAGAAGTGTCCAGACTACCCTCCTCTTTCTGTATCTGTCAATTCAACTGCTGCTGTGGAGCAAATTATACTGACCTTTGCTGTAGAAACTTAGTTTTTCCTACCTAGGAATACCTGCCAGTGTGGATAAATTAAGGCGTAGTAAAATACATCAACACAACCTTCTAAAAAAGCCATCTTTAAAGAAATTTTTCTGTCATCTGCAGGTTATCGGATAAATTATCGAGGGCCTGTAGATACCGAACACTTCAAGCAGTAGGGGCCATTGTGATTCGTTCAAATCAACCGGAGCTTCGTGTGCTAGAGAAACAGGTCTAGTTACTTTTGATACCTTGGTCCCCTATAGAACCTGTGAACTCATAAATTCTGCATTATCTCGCAATTTTTCTGATATCCAGTTCAATGTTATATTTGTGCATATTATGACTTACATATGCATCTGAAGTGTAATCTCTTGGTATTAATAGTTCAATGTTATTTAAAACTCTGTTGTTGTTAATAATAATAATCCTTTAATTTTCATGGACACCTGCTTTATTGATTGGATAGTAGTTATTAAACAGTGTAATCTGTCTATCTTTGGTGCAGACTGAATTTTATCAGTCAAGTTTGCAATGTGGCCACCATTCTCGATAGCTCGCCATCGCGATGCACTGTGAAGTGTTGGTATTCGATTGCAAACTTGACTGATGGAATTCAGTCTTCACCAAAGAAAGCACCTCTTACAGGAGGTCAATCGCCAGCCCAAATAAATCCTCAGTGGTAACGTCTCTAACTACAGCACTGGGTGACTTGGGTTTGAATCTGAGAAGAGCCATGAGTCCCTTCAAGACTGCAGATACGTCTTGCTGACTAGTGAAGTCTAGATCCAAGGCTCCCTACCAACTGCCTCCAACCATCTAATACACCTAACTGTAGAACCCGGTTAGGTCATCAAAAAGAATATTCTTTTTTCTCTCAGTCAGTATTTCTTTAGTCGAATCAAAAGTCTTATAATCCAATGAAGATACTGTATACCGTTAACTCGGTGATAGAACTCATAAACTTGTGTAATTTATTGTACAGTTTAACAGTTTCCCAAGTGATTTAAACATTATTTATGTTAACGTGTTTGGATTGGATTGTTTAATGCATATATATTATTAATTTTGGCTTTAAAAAGAACTGTTTTTAAAGCAATCACTTAAATCACTATATACCCTCAGATATATCTCATCATTAGTCTAAGGTGAAAGGTGATGTTCTGTGGTGTTGTATCAATAAAAAGAATCATAACTAAACTGACTTATTTATGAGTTAACCGTGAACAAAGATGGCTTGTGTATAAGCATGCGTTGTTTGTGTTTGAATTGATTATTTGCTCCACATTACATGAAGGGAACTTTAGTGATTTATAACTGTACATAAGGTAACGAAGATTGGTATTTCTCTCTTAATTTATGGAATGATTTCCTTCTGACTGTTTTCCTCTCTCTTTCTTTGGCTTTCTCATTATTTATTATTATAAATAGAATGTCAAATAACAGAGCTAATAATTAAAACAAAAAATAAAGTTTTATTTTAATCTTAAATGGTTGCAGGCAATCGGCTAAAAGTCTTGGACAAACTTAAAAGATGCGTCCAGAGTGGAATAGATCAAATTAATGATATATTTATATTTCATCTTCTTTCAGATGTCAGCTCTAGAGAACCGTAGCGATGTTACTCTAATCACAAAGAAATCGATTCTGAAATTCATAACCGTGATAAACTGTTTACACATTTCACTTTTTTGAATCGATTTCGTAAATAGAATTGATAATTCTCTGGAAGTTGTGGTTTCTGTGTAGAAAACCTGAATTGTAAGAGAACTGTTAGTCACTCAGAAATATTGTACGCAGAAAACGGAGTTTAGGACAGAAAGACTGGAAAATTACAACGGTTTCGTGGACATACGCCATGTAGACCATTGAGTAATATCACGTGCCATATCCATTGAGTGGAACTTAAACAAGAAACGATGAATTGGCCATTCGAGGGAGACGTGGAAGAGATCGTGTTAGGAGGAAACGAAAGCTTATGAACGGTAATACAGCCATCTGAAGGAGACTGGAAAGAAGAGACTGAATTGATGATGTACTGCTGAACCCATGGGAATGACAATGGTCATTTCTATTTTGTTACGTTATATATAAAAGTTTTTCTGCTTTCCGTAAAACTCCACCGTAGCAATATCCCACAAGTATTTCCCTTCCTAGTGAATTTGTACCTTGAAACAAGCTAACGGTGTGATGCAGCAATAGAAGAATCGCTAAAGAAATAAGATCAAATATAATTATGTTTTATGTTATTGTTAAGGACTACTGGTGAAATAAAAATTTCGTTCCTGAGAAGTTTCGAACTAGTAGTCTGATGCTAAAACAGTCAAGTTACGAGAACTTTAGCCATTGCAGTGGAATGATGATTTAGTTACAAGGCTTCCATCATCAGCATCATCATCTTCAGTCATCATCAGCCTGGAGACCTGAGGCTGTATCAGATAGTCTGACTATCAACAATTATGTTTCTACGAGTTGATCACGGATTGATAACAGTTCGAGAACCCTTGAAAACCAGGGAGTACTGGACAGCTGCTGTTTCATCCTAGTTTGGGAATCATCGGCAGTACGCACCCACCACAGTGCGATTCGAACCCAAGACCTTCTGGTTACAAGGCAAGCTCGTATACCATTCAGCCACTGTGACCCGATTCAATGGCCAGTGCATGAATTCTAACTTCTACCAATTCGTGATTTAGCGCGACCCCAACCATTGTCGTTGGTGGGACATCCATTCACACACGTGACATCTAATTGGAACTCACTGGTCACAACTCCTCACTAGAACTTCAGGAAACTCCAACCTGCAGCAAGTCACTAGCGAGCATCAGATTAATATTCTATAGTTTTGTTTGTAAGGGTTAGTTATGTTTTTATCGCCTTTACAATATTGACTGTTGACTTAATTGTTTGCTTATTTACACTACTTATTATTGAATTAAATTTCTTTTATAACACATTTAGAACTCTATAGAAAGGCGAAACCAAATTATTCCTAATTCATATACTTTACAGTCGGAATTTCGACAGCCTGTACACCACCTTTTTCTGTAGAAACCTTTAAGATGTATAAGACGATGTATCTTCTGAAAATGTTGATCTTGTTGTTTTTTATTTACCGCTGACTTTGATAAAACAAACAAACAAACAATACAATAGACGTTTACATTGATGCAGTTTATCATAGTAAACAATAATGATTGAAGCAAAACTGAATTCTACAAATAAACATGATTGAAATAACATATATATATATAGGGAGAGTAAAGCTTACTTTGTCCGGTTTAATTAATATTCCCAAATGCCAATAATCATCATTCCATGGTATAGAGAATTCCACTTCTTTTGCATTACCCTCAAACGATAGCGGATTATACGTGAAAATGACTTGATATGTGGTATACTATAGGAAGCACAAGAAAAACAGCAAAAACAGAGTAAAACAAAAAATCAGTGAGAGATCATTCAAAAAGGGAAAAGTTATAAACGAGAAAAACAAATGAATAAGATGGTTAGTATGATGGAATGTTCAGTAATGTAGAAAGAATTTTACATAAACAAATATGATTCATCTTTTATAGGTAGAAGGTATGGTATGTGTTTGTACATTTATATTTGTATATAATAATAATATTAATAGAGTGTTTATTACTTCTTTTCATGATGAATAATAATGAGAGTTGAATTTTTGGAAACATTTCTAGACATGTATAGAACACGTATTCACTTGATTTCAGAAGAGAATATTTTCTTTTAGTAGTTATATAGTTTGTTCCACTTATTGCGCTACTTATAACAATAGATAGTAGTATATAAAGCGGTTTCTTCTTCTGAAAAGGCATTTATGGTTCTTTAGCAGATGGACGTACTGCTGTTCAAGAAATTCTCTCGAGTGATGCAATCATGAAGGGGAGCAAATTAATGGAGACAACTAAGAAAGAAATATTCCTAAGGCACAATGGTTGATGGTCTTTGCAAATTGTAGGATAAATTTGTGGTAACAAGTAGGACTCATGAAGATTGTATCTGTCAGGATATTGAGTTTGAGGGACAGGAAGAGAGAGAGAGATTGGGATGTTTGTATCGTTTCTAAACAGAAGCCGAACTGTTCGTTGATTAAATGAATTGAATAATTGTTAGTATAGCGTTAAACCCTCTATACATTATCAAGCATATCTTCTTACCGTAATACATTATTACCAATAGAAATTATGCAGGCGGTATTAAGTTCAGGGGGGGGATATTGGTGGAAGTGTGTTCTCGAAGCTGGATGCTTTAATTAAGAAGCTTTCATTGTCATTTTGTGGGCGGCATCTTCAAGGTGAAGGAAGCTTTTAGAATTCTCCAACAATTCATTAGGTATCTCTCCTGGTGAGCTTGAACTTAATTAGTTGTTTCTAGAGATTTTCTCATTCTCCCCTCCACTTGTATTGCTATTGGCATTTTGTCCATATGACTTCTTTTTTATTGTTCGATAAATCTGATCTATGCCGGTGTGTCTGTTGATTAAAGATTCAAAAAAGTTTTGGAACATACTTTTTCATAATTACTTGGAGTTATAAATAGAAGGTATAAGAAACATAATTCCGGAATTTGATGTAGGTAGACAGATTATTCAGTGTGACAAAAAAACTAATTATATATAGTGGAATTAGATAAGAGGGTTTAGAGTTCAAACGCAGATTGGTTCGAGGCATATTATAGGGTCAAGGTCAGAGAACAGAGTGAATTTACACATGTGGTGGAGAGTTTAAGAGGGTGGGGGTAAATAGTGAAGTAAGTAACAAAAAACAAAAATAAATAGATAAAATAGGATTAGGGTTACCAGGGTAGTGAAAGATTAGTCACACTATCTTTCTGTGTACAGAGGTCTGGTCGAAGTCTCTTGATAGCGATGGCTTCTGCGAAACGAAGTAGCCATGGGTTTCTTTGCGTATTGATTATTTTGAAGGCATGGCTGATTTCTACTGTGTGTCCTGTGTCAATTAAATGTCTGGCGATTGCACAGGACACACAGTAGAAATCAGCCATGCCTTCAAAATAATCAATACGCAAAGAAACCCATGGCTACTTCGTTTCGCAGAAGCCATCGCTATCAAGAGACTTCGACCAGACCTCTGTACACAGAAAGATAGTGTGACTAATCTTTCACTACCCTGGTAACCCTAATCCTATTTTATCTATTTATTTTTGTTTTTTGTTACTTACTTCACTATTTACCCCCACCCTCTTAAACTCTCCACCACATGTGTAAATTCACTCTGTTCTCTGACCTTGACCCTATAATATGCCTCGAACCAATCTGCGTTTGAACTCTAAACCCTCTTATCTAATTCCACTATATATAATTAGTTTTTTTGTCACACTGAATAATCTGTCTACCTACATCAAATTCCGGAATTATGTTTCTTATACCTTCTATTTATAACTCCAAGTAATTATGATTAAAGATTCATTTGAGTACCAGTCTCATCCAAACTCACAAGGAAAGAAGGCTAACCAAGTTATAGAGAATTCTAAAAGCTCCTCGCATCTTGAAGTTCACATTAAAGATGCTGTCCACAAAAAGACTATGAAAGCTTCGCAATTAAACCATCCAACTCACGAATACACTTATATTTTTACCGATTTTAAACACATCGCATTGAGCTTTAATAATGAATGTGAATATTCAGTCTTCTATTAGTACTACATTTCTTACCATTAATCTCCATAAAACACAACTAAAACTCATAAGGCTTTAATGTGAAACTAAAAAGTTGAATATTATTTCTTAGAAACTTGTGTTGAATGAACCGGTACTTGTAAACTGTTTAAATCTTTTCAGTAGTTATTATATTATCGAATAAAAGTTGTTTTTTGTTTTCATTTCTTCGCGTCTCAAATGAAACATAGAACTTCAAAATGTATTTAACGTTTCAGTTGTGGTGGTATTGTTTTTACGAGGTGGAGTTGTAAGCCTCACACACCCACGCTTAACGGGTTTCTAGGCTTCCTATCGGTTTTTTAAATTAAGTGAGGTTTAGAAGTGCGTCGTCCAGGTATCAAACTCAAACAATATGGTCGGTTAGCCAGGGTTCTACCATTAAAACACCGACGCACACAATCAAAGTATTCAGCAAGAATTATGGTCGCGTGAATTGACTCCACTGACTGACTGACTGGTTTCAACGTAGAACTTTGCACGAATGTGCAGCAGATCGAGTTACTACACTCAGAGCAAGAGAAGAAAGTAAAAAGGGATTCAAAACAGAGGTAGTAAACAGAAACATGAGGCAAAAAGAATAATGATATGGAAGTACAATATAGTTTTACTGGATATAATCAGTCATAAGGAGTGAATGCATCTGCGGGATCCATTGAAAACAATTTCGAGCCACATCACCAATTGTCTCCAGCCATTGGTTTTTACCGTTCTGAGGACCCCAACCAGCAAGTCTGCACCTTCCTACATGACTTAAAACAACTGTTGTGGATTTCATTGACTGATGAAGACATGTTTTGGTTTGACCACCACCAGCTCTTTTCCAACCTGATCCTATGTCAGCTAACATTGCCCATTGTCTAGGAAGGCGATCAGTTGGGCATATGTAACACATGTCCTAATCATCTCAGTTGATGAAATTTCACAACCTCGTCTATTAATTTATGTTTTTTACCTATCACTCGGCCGATACCTGACCTTAATATTTCTCACTCGATAATACCACTTCACACGGGAGATAAAACGCACGCACTTATGATCAAAGACAGCTCGCTTTCTCATGTCTTCCACTTTCAATAGTAATGTCTCGCCCACAGCCATAAAAGAGGACGGAGCGAAATGCTAAGCAGTACATACGCCCTTTGGTCGATAGCCAGATATCACGTTTAAGCCAGAAATGGCGTAAACTGGCCAGCGCGAAACAAGCCTCCTGTATCCGTGTTGAGATTTCGTCAGCAATCAAACCGCTGGCACCGGCTCATGAAACTTTCCAAATAAGTGAAGTGATCAACGTGCTATACCACTTCACTTCTTATTTCTAAGCTAGGAGTCAATGAAGTCCAGTCCTGTAGCATCCTCTTACACTTGGCGGGACTTACTCCGCTATTTGAATAGAGTCAATCCAAGATCTCATCCTACCTTCAAACCAACGAAAAAGCTTTCCAGTGCTCAGGTAACCTTGATCTAAATCACGAGCACTACTTAGGAGTTGATTTGATTACTTCCCACCTATTCATATTAAACAGCAGTATGTGTTGTGTTGCTTATTCTGTTTTATATGTTACCATTATTTAAAACCCTCGCTAAGACATTTAAAAAGAAATAAGATGAATTAAAAAGGATATATGTATATTTATATATTTAGTTAGTTGTACACTAGTATTCATGTTTCAAAAATGACATCAGATTACCAATTTTTATGTTGGTAGTGTTGGGTCATTAAAACGCGCTACAAATTCCATGTTACTTATGTCGTTATCTCTATTTGTAAAAAAAATATAATAAGATATCTTAATGAAGAGAATGGTTGCACAGGTCCTGGGTTCGAATCCCAGTGGGTGCGTACTGCCGATGGTTCCCAAACTAAGATGAAACAGCGGCTGGTTTTCAATGCTTCTCTAACTGATACTAATCCGTGATCAACTCGTAAAAACATGTATAAATTAAAATAGTGGAATCGTTTTTTTGACTAACTGTATATAAATCGACAATAAAATAACAGATTTACTTGGTGGGCAGATGCTGATAATGACGATAGCATTCACATAAGGTAATGAAAATAAAAGGCTTGAGATTGAACGAAAAAGAGTAGTAGTTAACTGATTTAAATAACTTAGACAATGAAGGCAAAAAAGACGGGTCATAATAAGTCTTTAGAATTAATCATGAAGATGTATTTTAATTACTTACATTGACCAGATATCAAAAGGGTTGACGTGTGTCGGTGGTTTAACTGTAAAATGTTCTCCAACCACGAATGGGGTCCGGGTTCGAATTGCAGCCTACGTACTCCTTAACGTCGCTTAGACTACAATATGTCCAGCAAAGAGGAGAGGTTGGGCGTAAGCCTAGCAACCCTACCCTGTAAAAAGCGGCGATAAGGCTTTCCTATTCATTTTTAAAAGCCAAGATATTAAATGTCCAATGATACGTTTAGGAGGTATAATGATATAGATTTATAGAAAGATAATTTTATATTTGGGCATTCTGTAAGTTTCATCGCTATCTGGTCTTCCAATTTCCGAGGTAAAGTACTGTCTGTAGTTTTACTTTGTAATTTTGTGATATTCGGTTTGGCATATCTTAGAAATCTTAAACTTGAAGAGTAATCAATCTCTTAGAACAATGTAAATCATGGGATATTCTAATTTTATTTTAGCATCATGAAATGGATCAAATTATTCTTCAGTTTCTTAGAT